TTAGATGGGGCTGTTTTATGAAATATGTTAGGTAGAAAAATTGCTTCAATATTTTTTTTATTGAAAGTATTATAGTTTTAACAAAAGAATCCAGACAACTAGAACATTTTTTCATTTATTTATTTATTTATTTATATAATACATATTTGGATACATTTAAGTGAATTATAAAAATCAACTGGTAAATCTTACTTTTCAAGCGAAAATCATTGGAAGCTGAGGTACTGTTTATCATGAATCGACTTACCCCAACAAACTTTGAACGCTTGGCTGTGGAAATGAGGAGTCTAAAAATTACAACTTATGAGGATTTGCAAGAGCTAGTTAAAATATTTTTTGACAAGGTTTGTTCGGAATCACTTTACAATAATTATTTCAGTTTCATAATTATAGCAGCTGGAAAGAAATATATTTTTGGAAATACTACTCACAATTTAAATAAATAATAGTGATAAGAAATAGGTTGATAAAAACTTCTCATTTTTCAGTTTTAATGTAATATTGACCTATATTTATAAATTTTTCAGGTAACCATTGAAACAAAATTTGTTGAGGCCTATGCACTTCTTTGCAAAATTATGGCACCGGTAAGCAAGTTTAGTTATTTTTCTTATCTAGCATAACTTAAGATAATATTGAGCATAATGTAGTTTGTTTCCATTAAACTAACCTGTAAGTTCCACATTTCAGCTTAAAGTACCTCCTCCAGCAAATATGAAAGAAAACCAATCTACTTTTCGAGTGGTTATGTTAACCAAATGCCAGCAGGAATTTGAAGCTGATAAGGCTATTGTGTTTGAGGATCCGGAAGAGAAGAAGAAGAAAATTGAATCAGAAATGCCTGAAGGGGTAAGTGCTTTTAATGTCTGGTATTTAATTTTTTATACAGTGGTTGAATGCCTGTATTGAATGTGTTAAGTTAATCCTACAGAATGCTTAAATTGTAAAAATTGTGGTTACTCTTATCATCCTGAGCTTATTTCTATTAAATTTGCCCATCTCAAACAATTTTTATCATATTTCAGAACAATCCCTCTATATCATAGAGGAATAATTTACTTCATAAACTATTAGATCTGAGTGGGTATTATGTTAATGGCATACACTATTTTTTAAAATACAGTTCTTTATTTCTCGAATAGTAATTTTAACAGCTCTAACAGAAGGACATTGTTTCTAAAAGATAACATCAAAGAGTGAAATAGAAATCAAATGAGTTCAATAATACTGTGAATCATTTTATTTTTATTGATCATGAGTGGTCTATCAAACTAATATAGGACTATTACGTACAGTAGAAGCATAAAACATGTATGAGGTTTAATGCAAAGAATGCTTTTATTGGATGCAACATATGTTTGAAATTAGAAGTTTAGTAATTCTTTACTAATGTATTTGTCTTAAAATATGGGCCAAAATCTGGCTAAATGATTTCAAAGCTAATAAACACTAATTAGTCATTTTTTAATATTTTCATGTAATTTGAAGATGAAATATTTAAAATACCTACAAAAACATAATTTTATTTTGAAAAAGTATGTTTGTCTTTCTTATTAATTTTCTTTTTATTTTAGTGTAATTCTACATATAAAAACAATAAAAAAAAATTAAAAGTTTGTTAGGTGTGCTTACTTCTCAAATAATAGAAAAACTGGAGCACATAAGCTTTCTGAATTTATTATACAAACAGCCTGAAAGAACAGAGTGCATTGAGAAAACCCTGTACCAGATGAAAGTGAAGAGGCTGAAGTTCTGTGGAAACATCAGGTAGCTATTATTTCTAACAAATTAAAATTGCTTATTCAATAGTGGCCTATATATTTTTTTAAAATTGTTTGAAAACTTTTTTCTAAACATTAAAAAAAATTTCTTAATAGGTTTATTGGAGAACTTTTTAAATTAGGGATGTTGACTGAAAATATTATGCATGATTGCATCTACCGTCTACTCAAAGTATGTAATGATGATACCATAGTATCTCTGTGTAATCTTCTTACTACTGTTGGGCAGTTACTTGACACAGATAAGGCAAAGGTAAGTATGTTGTTTTAATTTAAGCGCTTTAGGTTATATAAAGTTTATTTACACCTGAATTTTAATGACAAAATTAATAACTTTTATATTATCTATTCTAAGACAAGAATGGATCAGTATTTTGCACAGATGTCCAAAATTGCAGAAGAGCAAAAATCAAGAATCAAATTTATCCTCAAAGATACCATTGATTTAAGAAGTGTAAGTTTTTTCTTCACTTTACCATAATTAATTTGATAAAAATATTTTTAGTTATCTAGTTATAGTTAGCAACTGAGCTTCAACATATTTTTAAAAATATTTTTATTTTTTAATTTGACAGAATAATTGGGTATTTTGCAAAGAGCAATTAGTTCCCAAAAAAATTGATGAAGTGTACAAAGATTTTCAGCAAGAGCAGTTTATAAAACAATTTTTCCAGTATAAACCACCACCACCAAGAAATCACAATGCTCATCGAAATACAAGCCATGGAAATAGACGTAAGATAAAGCACAATTTTATAAATGTTAAAAATTTGTAGATATCAGCTGTTATATTTTTAGCGCAATTTCCATTCTGGAGAATTGCGTTTATTAACTCGTCATTTCTGGGAATGGATGGATGGATGAATGTGTGTCCGGGCTTTAAGTCGTATCTCCTCCTCAACGAAGCAATATCGATGACTAGTTCCAAAAGCAATTATGTTAAGCAAGTTACGAGAATGAGCATAGGCCATAAAAATTCCGGGTTTCTTTCATGTATTTCCCGTAAAAGCCAAAAAACCTCGAAAAAATGCAGTTTTTGGCCCATATCTCGGCAACCAGACCACTTAGCGACTTGAAACATGTACCAATCGATTCCTGCCATAATTTAGAACAGTATTGCCGAAGAAAGTTTTCAAACATATCCTCTCGTTCGGTCACAAATTTTAAAATTACATAAACACCTACAAACCGATCGCTCTTCAAGCTTGAACGCACCCAATCATTATACGTCAGAGCTATTTTTAGATAACATAAGGAAATTGCGCATAAATGTCACTAGACTTTTTTAATTAACTTGCGCGCCTACTGAACGTGATGGCGCAGCCATGGAACGCGATGACGCATCTATTGAACGTGATGACGCGTGTGGTGTGGTTGTATATACATGCCGGAAGTAGAGATCTACCATTTTAATGATTATCATGTTGATAATCAAGTTCAACTAACCAATGGTTTTACTAACCCTGCTCTTGATTTCAAGGTGCTTAATTTAGTTAGTAGTTAGTAGTTAGGTTTATTCCCTTATTGTCTTTGGGCAACTTGTACACAGCCCCCGCCCTTCTGCTGGTCTCTATGAAAATGCCTAAGAAACGCTCCTCATCACTCACCAATCGGAAAAAGAAAGTATTCAACAAGTCATATCAAATCAAAAATGTTTCGCTTCCTGATCTAAGTCACTTGGTGGATCCTGAGGACGACGATGTAGCAACTCAACCAACTTCCAATGAGCAGCCGGCATCAATTCAAGCTACTGTCTCACTTCATACGCTTTTTCATCACGACGCTGGTCCAAGCAATATTCGACGATCCTCTCGAAAGTCTGTGCCTACAACAAAAGCAGCTGAGTCACGGAAGCAAGCAGAAGCTAAACGAAAGGCTGAGAAGCGGGCAAACAATCCAGAATATCGAAGTGCTGAGAGGCAAGCAAATACACGACGAATGGCTACCAAAAGAGCAACTGATAATGAGTACTATGAGGAAGAGCTGGAATCAAATTCTAAGCGTTGTGCAACTTATCGTCAAGATCCCGACTATTATGAGGCCGAGCTGGAATCAAATTCTAAGCGTCGTGCAACTTATCGTCAAGATCCCGACTATTATGAGGAAGAGCTGGAATCAAATTCTAAGCGTCGTGCAACTTATCGTCAAGATCCCGACTATTATGAGGAAGAGCTGGAATCAAATTCTAAGCGTCGTGCAACTTATCGTCAAGATCCCGACTATTATGAGGCGGAGCTGGAATCAAATTCTAAGCGTCGTGCAACTTATCATCAAGATCCCGACTATTATGAGGCCGAGCTGGAATCAAATTCACAACGCCGTGCTGCTTATCGCGCAACTGAACAAAAAGCCGACACTGCCGCTAAGCGTCGTAAACTTAAACACCTCATGCCGTATGACGTCGCTGCAGACATTTACAAGCTCAAGATTAAGGATGGATCGGACAAAACGTGCATAAGCTGTGACTGTCTTTTCTTTTCTCATCAACTTACAACGACGACACATGATAAGCTCTTCGAGAAGCTCGTCAACAAGCTGATGTATCCAAGTAAAGAAGCTGAGCTGGCGGCAAAATCCAAAGCTGTCAATTTGAAGTCGAATGTTTCGAAGGCGAATACAAATGCTAGCAAGGCGAAAGCAGTGGCTGCGATGAACGCTCACGACAAGGTTGTGCAGGAAGCAAGAGCTAAAGTCATTCCAGAGGCAGATACCTACATTAACAATATGATTCTCGATGACCATCTCAATGACGTCGAATACAAGTTCTGCCACACATGTTGGAACTACATCAAGAAAGTGGAATTCCCTCGTGTCAACATCAAGCATTCTAATCTTGCCTTCCCATATGTTCCTGAGATAGTCAAATCACTCACTGATCTTGAAGAACGTTGCGTGTCACCAAGAATCCTGTTCATGAAGCTGCGGCCTCTCGGATGTGACAGACAGCTTGGACTTAAGTCTGGTGTGGTCAATGTTCCAGTCAACGTCCCAAATATGCTAAAGTCAATTCCTGCACACCCAAACGCTGCTGAAGTTATCGAGCTGGAATTCATGCGTGCCATGAGTCATCGACATTTCACATGGAAGGAGAGAATTGAACCACGCAAGTTATACAAAGCTGCCGAATATTTGTGCACAACTCCGCTCTAAAAGAAGTATGACATCACACTAAACAACGACTACGAGCTTCATCTTTACATCTACTCTTTCTTCGTATGCATGCTTGTCATCGCAACTGCAATTCATCTCGTGACCACAAGGTCCCTGCCCAATGATGATGATGTTGAGATGCTGGATATCACCGAGCTTCAAGAATGTGCAAAACAATCAATCTCAATCGATGATGCTTCATCTACTTCCACGACTGCTTCACTAAAGAAGACACATCCTGATGTTCTTGCTCGTATGCGCGAAAAAATTCCTGATCTGACACATGACGAAGTCAATGAGATTCTCGCCCTGAAGGACAAGATGGCTAAAAACAATCATTTTCCTTGCCTTGCCGAAATCGATGAGATGGCCACAATGCTTCAGTCGAACCGTCACTACATTGAAGAAGAAACTATGTTAGACTTTACCCAAGGAGTACGATTTGCACCAGGTGAAGGAGAAATTCCAATTCCTCTCCTCATGGATCCTTATTGCGAGGAGTTAATTTTCGCGAGAACTTGGGGTGGCTACATGCGAGAACCGATACATCAAACAGGGAAAAAGCTTTCATACGCGGAAATAGCAAAGTCGCAGATTCGTCGCAGTGATCGTCGATGTGCTCGAGCTGAAGTTCTCTTCTTCATTTATCAAAAGACGAAGATCGCTCAACTACAGGGACAAATGTCATACGCATTTCGTAGAACTGGCCAGGATCGAGGTGTCACTGTAAGCCAAGCACTCAATAAGGAATTCCTGTTAACGCAGCAGCTTGATGACAACATTTATCGCTTCGCATCGACTGTCACCGGTACACCAGCATATTGGGAAGCGCAAAAGAAAAGCGTTCTCGCACAAGTTCGACAAAATGGTATATTTACCTTCTTCATCACGCTATCTGCAGCTGAAACTCACTGGCCGGAACTGATAGTCTCGTTGATGAGAACTGTGCACAAAAAGGACATCACTGAGGAGGAAGCCATGGCACTATCATTCAACCAGAAGGCTGAGCTCATTCGAAAAGATCCTGTGACATGTGCCCTTCACTTCGATCATCGCTTCAGAGAACTTCGAAAGACATGGAACACCGAAGGCGGCCCGTTCGAAGATTACAAGATGGAAAACTTGTATTACAGAATTGAGTTTCAACACCGCGGCTCTCCACACGTACACATGCTGGTCTGGCTTAAAAATGCTCCTGCCTTCGATGCGGAAAGCAATGATTCAAAAGAGGAGTGCATAAAGTTTATCGACAAAATGATCACTACAGACACTGTTGCCGCAGACGTCAAAGACATAATTGGATTTCAATTCCACAAGTGCACTTCAACTTGCGATCGCATGAGGGACGGCCAAAAGGTTTGCCGATTCAACTATCCAATACCTCCGATGGACCAAACGAGAATCTTGAGCCCGATTCACAAGGAACTTCTAAAAGAGATGCCGAAGGAAAAACAAAAGAAGCTTCGCGAGATCAAGGCTAAACTTCGTGCGGTTCTAGACTTGGAGACGAAGGAGAATACAGTCGGTGACTTTAACGATCTGCTCGCTGTTCTCGAATGTACCAATAAAGAGTATACCGATGCAATAAGTACCACCCTCACTCAAGAAAAGGTTTTCCTAAAGCGTCTTCCAAAGGACTGTCGCATTAATGGATACAACAAGAAGATCCTTTCGCTTATGCGCTCCAATATGGATATCCAGTTCGTCACGAATCCTTACCAGTGTGTCTCATACGTCGTCGACTATATCAACAAGTCACAACGTGGACTCTCCCGCCTTCTTCGTGAGCTTGTGGCTGACTTCAAAAGAGGCAACTTCACGCATAAGGAAAAGCTGAAGAAGATTTCCAACGTTCTGTACAATTGCACTGAGATCTCGGCTCAAGAAGTCGCTTGGATTCGACTCCAACTTAAAATGGCATCAAGCAGCGTCGTAGTTGACTTCATCCCAACTGGACCTCGCAAGGATCGACACAAAATTCTCAAGCCCGATGCGGAGTTGAAAAGAATTCGAGACAAAGATCCCGACAATCAAGACATCTATCTCAAAGGCCCAGTAGATCGCTATTCACTTCGTCCTGATGAGCTCGAAGACAAATGCCTCGCAGAATTCATCGCCGAGTACACGTATCAAGGCAAAGGCAACAAGAAGGATGCTGAGGATGATGAGCTTGCCGATGATGTTGAAGTTGAGGAGATGATCAACGATGAAGATGAGGGTGCGGCAAAGAAGCTCAAAGTGTTCCAGCTCAAAGACAATAGTGGATCTATCAAAGAGAGAAAGAGGCCGAAGGTCATTCGTTATTGCAGATTTTCTCGAGACAAGGATCCCGCCAATTACTTCCGAGAAATGGTCATGCTCTATTCGCCATGGCGTGATGAAGTCAAAGAAATCGAGGAGGGAAACTGTGAGGCAATCTTCCTCGAGAAAAAAATTGTCATCGATGTCAACTACAAAAATTACAACAAGATCGGTGAAGACTTGAACCAGATTTACATCGACATTCAAGCGGAGCGCGATCAAGAAGAAAATGCGAATGCCGAAGAAACTATTCTCGATGAAAATGGCCAAACGATCAAGCCTGATGTGAATTATTACGACTATGATGACACAGTTATTGTTCCTGATCTGCTAAACGAGCTTGGACAAGACGTCGCAGTAGGCGAGGAAGTCAAACGCTACAAAGTGCCAGGAATGCTCTCCAACAATGATTACAACAAGCTCATCGATTCGCTCAACACTCGTCAACATAACTATCACCAGCATTTGTTAAGTTGTCTCAAAAATGGCAAACTTCCCTTCTATCACTTTATCAGCGGCGGCGCAGGTGTAGGCAAAAGCAAGCTTATTGAAGCCATCTATCAGACGGTGACTCGCCACTATCGCGGTGAAGCTGGTTCAGCTGAATCTATCGAAGTACTTCTTACGGCGTTTACCGGAAAGGCAGCACACAATATCGGCGGCATGACAGTAACATCAGCGCTCAGCCTATCGGTGACAGCAGGTGCTTCGAAGGCCAAGGAACTTTCCAGTGATGCTCTAAACACGCTGTATTCAAAGTTTCGAAACCTGAAGCTGCTCATTATCGACGAAATTTCGATGCTGAGCTTGGCCAATTTCAATCAAGTCGACTCGCGGCTTCGTCAGCTGTTGAATAAAGATCTTCCTTTTGGTGGCATTCCAGTCATCGTGGTCGGCGACTTTAATCAAATCCCGCCAGTCCTTGCACAATATGTGTTTGAAGAACCTAAAAAGGACCTAGCTTCACTTGCCGGCAACACTCTTTGGCCTCTCTTCGAGCTGTATGAGCTGACGGAAATCATGAGACAGAAAGATGATTGGAAGTTCGCAAAGGCGTTAGGTGGAATCGCTAATGGATCGCTAACAGAGGAAGAAGCCGCAATGTTCAAATCGAGAGAGTTCACCTCAAGCACTCTTCCAGAACGAGGACAAAATGCGATTCATATCTTCTTTCGGAACGAGGATGTTGATGACTTCAACAAGAAACGCAACATTATGGCTCGAGAAAAACTGAGCAAGCTTCCACCTAAACCTTCTGGTAGTGCACCACTTCAATTAGATTTTCCTGCTATTGACAAGTATCCGACGGGCAAGGATCCCAAAGAAACGGCAGCAATTAAGGCAAAAGCCGAGTTTCACATTACTGGAAAGGACAAAGGCAAACGAGTCAAGAAGCCGAAGCCTGTAAAAGATATGGCAGCTCTACCGACAACAAATTACTTCACGGTGGGTGTTAAGTATATGGTGACATCTAATATTGATACGCAAGATGGCTTGTTCAATGGTGCAACGGGTGTTCTTCGCCACCTCGAAATCAAAGACCATCACCTGAAAACCATTTGGTTCGAATTTGCCAACCCGGAAGTCGGTGCGACTGCAAGATCAAAGCGTGGAAGAGTTCACCTTCCAACCGATAATCCTTCAGTCACCCGTCCCATTCCTTCTACTTGGACGCCAATCAATTTGCTGAAAGGAACCTTCAATGTCCTTAAAGGCCTCACAGTGACACGCGAACAATTTCCAGTTGTGTTGGCGGAAGCGATAACGATTCACAAGTCTCAAGGAGCATCGATGGAATCAGTTGTTGTGAGCATGAAAGACTTGACCCGTCAACTTCAATATGTCGGACTGTCGCGAGCCACATCTCTTCAAGGTCTCTTCATCCTCGGCACTTTCACAATCAAGCCTTCGACACCAGGAACAAAGAAATGTCAAGATATGATGGCCAAACTTCGTGTGGAAAAGCCGCTGAAACTCGTTTTTGATGAACAAGCTTTTATGTAATAATGCACTAAAAAGTAGAAAATAAATTTTTTCAATCTCGTTAATAAATATTTTTTCTATTTTGTTTTGAATTATTAAAACTACTTGTGTTGCATTATTTTTTTGCTGAATATATGATTTATCTCGATTTAAAATTGTTATGGATAACATAAGGAAATTGCGCTTAAATTGTCACTAGACTTTTTAATAACTTGTTTTATAATAGCATTCTGGTGTAGCTAACTTTAGAGGCATTTTTTTTTATAATTAGAATGTCAAGAAGTCATGAAACAGCCACTTGATGGTAGATGTAACATAGTAGGATCAAAATCTTTAAGGATAGATGCCAGAAGGTATAACATTACATAATGCTATCATTGTTTTTTTGGTTTTTTTTTTGTTGTTGTTTTTTTTTTTTTTTTTTTTTTTGCTTTCTTCTCAAAATCTTTATACATTTTAATATAATATTAGTATGTTGTTGATGAGAGTAATATTCAGCTTGTTCCTAGTGTTGGTATCAATAAATTCTCTATGTGGAGTAGAGGTAGTTATGGTGGTGCTCAACCATCAACAGATGATAGACCAGCTCCTGCAACTAATCGGTAAGTTATATTTGATGCTTATGGTTTAAAAGGATAGTATTAATGAACAACTGTTGATTACAGAACTATATATTTCTATCCTCATTTTTATATATTTTAATGACAGGTTTAACAATTGACAAAAGTTAATTCATATTCATTAACAAATTTTAAAACTTAAATTTACTATTAAATTTTTAGATTTTCATTACTGACAAGATCAAGCAATGAAGGAGATAGAAGAGTAACTCTAGGAACATCTAGGTATGCTATTTTAACTATTTCACTTGTGGTTTATGGTGCCATGCATTGAATTCACTAATCAACCAGATGTTTCATTTTGCTGATCAGCCATTGTTTCTTTTTCAATCTTCTGTCTTAAATATTTATTTTGTTAACTAAAAACTCTTAATAAGCTTTATCGACATACAAGTAAAACACAGGGATATTCCGGGAATTTAATGCAGAACAGACATAGTTACTATTGTAACACACTGTATTCTTGGGTATGATTATTATATTGTATTTTAACATGAAGTTGTATGAATTTAGAGTACCTGGCCAACGGAAGGACTTTGTGAGCGACTAGTCATGTTTTTCCATGCTTTTTGTGAGATCGCTCACTGACGTAAGGGGAGAGAATGTATGGTTTAAAAGGGGAGCGCAAGGTGGACTAAGGGTGTCTGCCTGAGTCTGTGTAGTAAGATGTTTCTAGACTGTAATATGATAGTCGTTTTTTCTACAAAGTATTATCGTCATTATTCTTGTGGATCTATGTAAATAAAGTTGAAAGTTAAAGAGTACTGTTGATCGTGTTCTTGGGTAAAAGAACCCACAATAACAACTATGGATCATATACAAGTTGTTACAACTATGAAATGCGAATTCTAAAAAAGCGACAATTCATCCAATTACATTGTTTGTTGTACAAAGTCAAAATTTCATACTCGGATCATTGATTCTTTTGTTTTTATACTTTTCCAATCAGGCCAATGACTGGTGGTCGATCTCAGAATTCAAGTAGAGATAGCAGTTGGAATCGTGATGACCATCGACCTTATGGACCTAGAGGCTCAAGAGAGGGAGAGAATGTTATGACCCGTAGTGATATATCATTGCGTCCTAACTCAGATTCCCTATTACCCCCAACCACAGTATCACCAGTCCCTGGTGCTGATGATCAGTCTGTCAAGAAAATGAAACCTCTGTCACGTGAAGAAATGGAAAATAAAGCAAAAATCATTTTGGAAGAGTTCCTAAGTGTTAAGGATATTGAAGTGAGTAAAGCAAATAGCTTGGATATGGTAAATTAAATTAAAAGTTATTACTGTTGAGGTACCGGAACATCTGGCACGATTCTCCAACGTGCCTACATCCTGCATCTATAAAGTAGCTCTACCACAGAATTTTAAAACTTTCCGTGAAAATAAATTCTACACCACAGTAGACTCACATTATTTTTCAACCAGCCCTTGTGCCAGAAAAAGCTCCCTACCTTCATTCCAACGACTTTTATTCACATTTGACAAAGGTAGCCAAAAACAAAGTCGCAGCACGGTTAACTAGTTAACTCGTGAACTCACAAACTTACTGTATAACACACACCATTCCTCAGCAACCCAAAATTTTGTCGTTAACTTTAAACTTTAAAAAACTAACTAATAAAAAAAACACAACTCAGATTCTATTCTCCAAATAAATTGATGTCAGCTAACATTACATTCAATACATTTATTTACAAAATAATATAAAATATTTATTTTTTACTTTTTTTTCCAGAAAGCAAAATCATGCTTGCAAGAATTGGTGGGACAAACATACCTTGAAGTGTTGGTTAGTTTTTGTATAATTGATGTTCTTAAAAAGTCAACCATAGAGCGTGATTTAACAGGCCAGTTTTTCCATGAAATAGTTAAAAATAACCTCATACCCTGTGTTACATATTTCAAAGGGTAAGTGTCTATACTCTTTAATATACCTATTAATATTATTCTTGTGAGCGGCTGGAGTGTGTAATTATTACTATTTGTAACTTACAAGGCGAATGTATCGTTTCGTTTCATGTCGTAAACTGTTCATACTTTTTAAGTTGTGTAGTCCCGTATTATGGCGCCGCTGTGTAACTGTTTGTCCCTGTCTACGGCTAGTTTGTGTATATTTTGTTTAGGTTGTTGTCACTGTTTATATTGAGTGTTTTTTGTTTAATTCTGTTGTATGTTTCGTGGCGTGTTGCTTGTTATCTGTGAATTAGGGACTATTTGTTTACCTGTAGTGTGTGAGGTGTGTGAAAGTCGGTTTCCGGCATGATGTTCGCTTCACTTTGGTATGTCAAGTGGATAAGGTGAAGAAGGCAATCCTGTACCATCCGAGGCATCCAAGTCACGAAAACGTCCATCAAACTTTTGTGTGTATTGAATTTGTTCCTTATAGCCTGGACGTAGTCCGAAATTGGGTGTTTTGTTTAGTCGTGTTTTGTTTAGTCGTGTTTCGTGTATAATGTTTTGTATATCTTTTGTCAGTTAAAGTGCTGCTCTGTTTGTGTATTTTTGGCCTAGTTGTTTGGCCTGGGATTGATGTAGATCTTGTTTTTATTTACATTCTTTTTTTTTGTTCCAATTTAATTCATGCAATACATTCTGTAAAAACTGTTAAAGTTTTTTTGTTTATTCTAGACTAATGTTAGGTTATTAACCAGTCTGGGTTTAGCCGGACTTGCACTGACCGGACAGTAGTTAAATAAGCCTAGAAGGGTAGATTTTAGTTATCCCCCCCCTAGTAGGACTTACATTCTTACACGTTGTTCTTATTGTATTTGATACGGTTATTAATTTGTCAGTTATTAAAAGAATTTTTCTTTCAGCTTGTCTGAAATTTTGCAATTAGCTGAAGACATGGTGATAGATATTCCAATGATTTGGACTTATTTGGCTCAGTTAATAGCTCCCGTTCTAATTGGTGGTTCAGTGCCTTGGTCTGACCTGATACAAGTACTTCAAACTAGCCTTGAAAAAAGTTGCTGTTTAAAACTTTTAACAGAAATTTTATTACATGCCAAAAATATTACGGTAAGTCGTAATTATTGTAATAAATATATCCATATTTATAATATACAGTTTATCCTGTACAATATTGTAATATGTATAGTTACATTTATAATATTTCATATCTGTATTGTTTTTTTTTACTTTCTATTTACAGAGCAAAGCTTTCGTTGCCCGAATGTGGCAGAGCAGCCATCTTAAATGGTCTCTTATTATAGGTCATTCAAATGTAACGAAATTCCTTGCAGAAAATAACCTGAACTTTACCATAGCCCCATGCTAGAGACAAGATGTATACGTAAAATTGTGGTTTGATGGAAGTTTTAAATTACAAACATAAGTGAATGCACACCGTCACCAATAGGGCTTTAATGGGTGTCAGGGGGTTTGAACCCCTCCATGGCTGTTATTTTCGTTTAATGGTGATTTCTGATATGCAGGAGTATTGCTGTATTATTGCCACTGATTTTTATTATTTTCAACTTAATTAGCCAATGTTTTAATTTGTTGTGCTTTTATTTTTAATTATATTTAGTATGAGGGTTGATTTTTTTGTGTATTATTTTGGATATTGTTTTTTATTTTATTGGGAGACAGCTTTGGTATTGGTATTTTTTCGGGGGGAGGGGGGGACTATATGTTTAAGTGGGTGTAGTGCGTCTAATTGCGTTAAATTCAAGCAGTGTTTCTTCCAGACTTTTTTCTCCGGGGGGGGGGGGCAGACACTGGTAAAAGTATATTTTCTGCATAAATTCCATTTCGTTCGGGGGGGGGGGGGGGGGGCAGCCCACCGAAGAGATGCCTGGAACAAACTCTGAATTTAAGGCAGGTCTGGTGTGGCAAGTCGAGGCTATCGATCACTTTAGCTGTCGGGTCAATTATGACTTATGGACAGTGGAAAGTTGTTTTGTGATTCTTTTAAAATTTGACACATTTTTAAAATAATCTCTTGTGCAAAGTGAGGTTATTACTTATTGTTATTTCTTAGATCTCTGGTGTATATTCAGGACACAGGCTATATAGTTTTGTTGAGGCAATTTTCCTAAACAGTAATTTGTTGTTAAGTGTTCAATATTTTTCACAATACGATGCACCCATCATGGTAATATTGTGGTTACGTGGGATACAATGCTAAGATGTTGTTATGTTTTACCAGTGTATATTTTTAAAATCTTAAATGTTTTTATGTTTTCAGATTTCTTATTAATCTGATTAGGTGTTTAGTTAGGCTTTTGTTATATTTGTTAGGTTTCAATGTTTACAATTTAATCAATATTTGGTTTTTTATTTTAATAAGGTTACGCATAGTTAATCATTATTTTTTAATCTAGATCAAAGTTAGAAGCTAGACCGTCCTTCGTTTAACCTGGGTTGCACTGTCACCCAATAGTTTATAGTTCTATTAGGTAACTTACATAATTCCCACCCCGTTAGGGCTTCCACTAATTGGGGCTTTATTTGTACTTTTATACTACCTACTTAAATTTGAATTTGCTTTAAAAATTATGTTTCTTCTTTTACTTTAATAAACGAGTGTACCCATTAAATCAAAGATTTTTCTTAAACTAAAAAAAATTGTATGTACTCAATACTTAAAATGCTAATTTATGCAATAGGGACAAAGTGTATTTATCAAAACCTCCTGAATAAATTATAAATTATATTTTATCTTTCTGAAATCGAAATATTTAACTAGTATGTAACATTAATTTTTATAGTGGCTAGTCAGAAGTATGTTTAGAATTTTATAAAAAAAAAATAAAGAATAGACTTTTTTCCCTTTTGTTTATCCCTTATTTGCCATACTTTACATTACACCAGAAAGTGAATATGTGGTCCTAGTTGCTATGTGTTTTCAAGTACATCTACATTATTTATTTGTTATATGGTCAAAGCACCTGTGGTCAAAGTAACTAGCATCACATATTCACTTTATGGTCTATGCCAACATTTGACAACATAGACGAGGTGGTGACATTCTTCAAACACACCTACATCCAATGTCGTCGCATCCGTGGTCGTGGCGAAAAGTACAAACCTGCCTTGTTTCCAGTTAAAACTTGGAATCAAATTGTCGATGGTGTAGCAAGAACAAATAACATTTGAGAAGGATGACATTATAGTCTCCAGTCTCTCCTCTAATGTAGTCACCCAACAATGTGTCGTTTCCTTGAAGGTCTACATATGGACGGCACTCGGAAAAAGACAACATTCTTGCAAAGTGTCGCAGGAAAAAGCTATTCAGCTGATAAGCGATACAGGATGCTGCACGAAAAAGTACAACGTGCTGTTCAGACATATGGTCAAACAGATGTACTGACATATTTGCGTGCTACAGCACATCTGTCATTTAGTTAACCGTACAAGTATTACTTCTTTGACTATACTGTTGGCATGTTTTTAAAAATCCCTTTTTATCCTTTATAAAGGATAAAATGGGATTTTTAAAAACATGCCAACAGTATAGTGTGTATTTAATATTTCCTGTGATATTTTATACACAATTAAAGTTCAACTTATCTTTAGTCGGTAATGTTTATTTTTACTACAAGCGTTTATTTAACTTGCTTCCTCTGTCTAGATCGAAACGGGAGAGCGAAATTTTGGGCATTTCTAACCGATCAATTTCTCTGAAATTCGGCATGAGGGCCAAGACCCGATGACAATGTAATATGACATTTAATTAGACTTAATTTGATGACTAATTAATTATTAATATAGTAATTACAATTTTGTGAAATAAGTAGGCTGCCCTATCCCTGTGGGACTACAACTGTTGACGTTACTACAAGCTTTTATTTAGTTCGCTAGACTTAGACGCTATCACCCAACCTGTCTGGTGAGCTGTGGTTCACGACGAATGTTTACAATCGTGGAGCCGGTCGAATTAGTGAAAACTATTAGGGGCAGATAATAAAGTTTTTAAACGTTTTGAAACTTTGACAACGGTAAGAAAATTAAGTCCTTGCTGTCGTCTATAAAATATGGTCAAGGACGGCTGTTTTCAAAGGGAAGATAATCGTCTTTCAAATATTGAGATATAATTTTGGCATGTAATAAAATTTCTGTTAAAAGTTTTAAACAGCAGCTTTTTTCAAGGCTAGTTTGAAGTACTTGTATCAGGTCAGATCAAGGCACTGAACTATCAATTAGAACATGGGCTATTAACTGAGCCAAATAAGTCCAAATCATTGGAATATCTATCACCATGACTTCAGCAAATTGCAAAATTTCAGACAAGCTGAAAGAAAAATTCTTTAATGGATAACACCGTATCAAATATAATGTCAACAAAATGTAAGAATAATTTTAATAAGTATATGAAAGAACACAGAAACTTACCCTTTGAAATACATAGCACTGGTTTATTTTTCACCATTTTGTGGAAAAATTAGCCTGTTTTATCACGCTCATTTTTTTTACTAGTATACCTAAATGGTCGCCGGGGTATGTTTTAGCTCATTATTACGGAGAATGATTGACGTATAGACAACTCTTTCATACAGCACGCTCCACATGGTGGACAAACCAGCACCATAACAACAAGGGTCCAAGAAAAATAGTACCGGGTTTTTTTTACATTAAATAAACTCAGTTTTAGAAAACAAGGTCACGCGTCTAAAAATACACTATCAGTAACGCATGTATAAAATCCCATTTTGCTCATAAAAAGTCCTACACGCTGTATATATTTTTATTTTGCACATTTTTAAAAATGTGCCTCAATCAATCTTGTCATAAAATACGAAACAGGTTGTCTGACTTATGGATTAAGGACATCTCAACTCCTCCTCTCTCTCTCTCTCTCCCCCCCCCTCATTGGTCAAACACCCTCCCCCGGTAATGACTCCCTCCCCTACATTGCAATTACACACATATAAATTTTACAGTATTGTTAGTTAAATAAGTTCACAACGTTTGCAGGTTCAAAATGTGTACTCTGTTTGAATGTCAAATTTCATGTTTTTAACGTTTTTTTTTGTTTTTTAACATAAGCTTTAAAATATTGATCTAGACATTTAAATAAATTAGTTTTCTAAATATAAAACCGATTTAATGTTTAACATAAGAAAGTAGACCTACTGTGTTTTTAATTATTAATAGTCCGGCACCAGCTAATTTAACTATTGTAGATTCTTATTCTTTTTTACTCTATGTACAACTTGTACGGGAATATTTGCTTACTTAAAACAGTTTCTTGTTCATTTTCTACATTAAACTCATTCAAAAAAAAAGTTAATATCAGTGTTTCACAGAGTGATGGAGGTTAACATTATTTTAATTAACTACAATTAAAGCAGAATTCATTAAAGTGATAGAAACGGCTTTGACCTTGGCTGTAGTAACCATTAACAAAAATATTTCCACGAAACGTCTTTTCAGTTTCATTTTTACTTTCTCGTATATACGAAGTATAGAGAAAGTCTTGTAATCGTGCAAAAAAAAAAAAAAATCGAGATTTTTGCAAATCTCGACGTTTTGCATCTCACTGATACGGAAAAACATAATTTTGCAATCTTGTCCGTATGTCTGTGTGTCTGTGTGTGTGTGTGTGTGTGTGTGTGTGTGTGTGTCCGTGTGTAAACACGATAACTTGAGTACCGTTACAGCTAGGTTGATGAAATTTCATATATAAGTATATAATCAAAATCGTAGATCCGTATCAACTTTTGAGCGATTTCCGATAACCGGAAGTGGTACTTTTCCTACTTTGAATTTTTCAAAAGCCTATAACTTGAGTACTATTTCAGATAGATAAATGAAATTTCATATGTAAGTAAAAAATCTAATTCTCTACCTTCTATTAAATAGAGTCATTTCCGTTGACTGGAAGTAGTACTTTACGCTACTTCCGATTTCTCAAAAAACTAATGTAAATTTTAAAAGTAATAACAATATTGCGCACTATTATGCGCTTTTTTATTTCGCGTTCACTTGGTGTGCAATTAATTTGTCTACGAGATTTTATTCTATTTTTAAAACTTTAAGTATTTAAAATGGATTAAAAATCATGTCTATAGCCCGAGTTCCCATCCCCTGTTATTTTATATAAGAATATTCGAGAAAGTTTAGGGGAGATCACTCCCGGTTTATTAACGGCTACTTTCATTATTTTCTTTTTACTGCAATACATATTAGAAGTTTAAATAACAATAAAAATAACCAGTGTAATCTATTTACAAAAAAGTTATAGAAACTAATTAGTATAATATAATAATAATAATTATCATGTTGCCATATATAAGCAAAAAAATTGTTTGATCGGATTTTCCCGTTATTATTTGGCTATTGTTTCATTTTCAGTAGAGTTAAAAGCATTCAACGCATCAGTTAACAGTAAATTTGATGTAAAATGGCGTATCAAGACCACTTAGTTAATCACTTAAAAAATAAACTTGAAACTATCAAATCAGAACATTCAGTTTTCCACAGTGTACTGGATAACTTTGAAACAAAAGCAAGTATTATCTAACCTAGTCTAAACATTTCTACACCTTTGTTCTATTAAATAATACATGTCTTGCTTCTGCTACTAAAGTAAAGATTATGGTTTTACTTTGATTGAATTTGAGTGTTAATTTCATACGAAGATTACATTAGCTATGAAATACAATTATTAATGTCTAAATAAGGTGTAAAGTCAAGGCTATTGTTGACACTATCCAGTAGCGTATCTGGCCATTTTCAGCAAAGTAACACCTTTTTGGAAACTTTTTAAACTCAAAATTTTAAACAATGATATTGTCAGTAATTTATTTTTGGACGGCACAACGATGTAAATCACTTACAAGATTTCTTTTCATGCAGCAATTAAGCATATGGCACTAGACTAGTGTTAAATCTTGATACCATTTATGGAGTGTCTACGTTTACAACACGTATCAACAGCTGTATTTGTTTTGAATTTTTAAAAAAAGCATTACGATGCATTGCGATGTTTAAAAAGCTCTACGGGTATTACCACTTGACAAGAGCGGTTTTGAGTTAAAGTCCACTGTATAATGTATTTGCTTAAAAATAATTGAATTAGAAAATAGCCAAACTGGACAAAAATTTTTCAAGCGGCATGCAATTCACTTCGACAACAACAAAACCAGAAGTCGAAATGTCTGAAGATAGATACCCAAGTACAAAATATCGTCGATTCCTATTAAAACATGTCCACTTTCTTTCGTATATTTCTGACTTTACCAATGAGATGTGCGGAGCAAAAAGATCCTTCAGCCGTCTTAAACTCCAGAAAACATACATCCGTTCTAGTATGAACGAAGACATGTTGTCCAGCTAAGCCCTGATTACGATTGAATTGCTATTCCATTTGGTGACCAGAAAGATGCGCAACGGAAAAAAAGCGCAACGGAAAAAGCGCAAAAAAATTCGCAACGGAAAAAAAGTGCAAACAGAAATTTGCTCACACAGAAAAATGCGCAAACAGAAATTAGCACACACCTGAAAATAGCAAACAGAAAAATGAGCACACAGAAAAATGTGCAAAGAGAAATGTGCGCACAAAGCAAACTACACACAGATCGCTCACCAATAAGGATTATGGCAATGTGCGTTTCTTTATGCGTGCGTGTTCGAGTTTGCATGTGCCTATGTGCATACATAGACAGACTTTTTATTTCAACGTCCTGTATATTTTTATAGAGTAATAAGTGGGGGCTCATTTCCTAAAATAAATAGAATCATAAATTGCTAAGATTTTCCGATTTAGACGCTTTTCGACCAAGGGTGATAAGCTCACATGTTGTTTGACCACAGCCAGGTGTTGTCCACAAGCAGTTTGTTCACCGCGGTTGCTACATAAGAAAGTATTTAATGGGTTATGTTAAATTTAATTCCAAATGAAGACCATTTTCGGAAGCTGAATAGGCCATACAAATATCTGCATTTACGCGTTTTATGCATTTACATTTTTAGAGTAGACATAATGCTATTGTAAAATGAAATGTACGTAAATGCCAAAAAGTGACTACGCACTATATACAGACCTATATATATACACACATGTATATATATATATATATATATATATATATATATATATATATATATATATATATATATATATATATATATATTAAAAATTCGGCACCTTTTTTGCTCTTTTCGCTTCCCCTACACCGAAAACCTGGATACTCCTACGACACTATTGAATAAAGAAAAGGATTACCTCATAGGCTAGATTTAAAAGTACTACACATTAAAAGGTTGGTTACATGAATAAATGTATAATGAAATATATTAGACACTAAGTTTGATCTTCATCAGGTAACGGATAATGTGAAAGCTGTCATCAAAGTTGGGGAAATCAATTATGAGAAATACAAGGATCTGAATTCTTCCATGGAACATGTGCTGAACCTTTTGATCCAGCTTAGAGCAGAAATACAAAGTTAGTGATTATTGAAAAAAAAATATTTTTAAGACCCAAATATCTTTATTTATAATAATCATTTTGTTCGTTTTTATGAAATATTTATCGTTTTTGTTTTAGGACCAAGAGAAGGCTGTAGCTCTATTAATACTGACCATGTTGTTGAGACTGTGCTCAGCCGTTTGTCATCTGAACTGATAACGAAAGACAAAGAAATGAATTCGATGCTATCAAAACAGAGGAAAGAAATTGAAGAAAATATCCAACGAACATCAGACGAATGGTTCCTGAAGTACAAGGAGTTGACAACACATCTGGATAATTTAGAAGTTGAGGCTCAAAATAATTTTCAGAAAGTATCTGAACAGCAAAATAATACGATGGTTCAACAAAGAAAAGACAGCGAATTAACTAATTCTAAAATTTCTGACATGTCGTGTGAGGTACAAAACCTCCAAGACAAAGTGATGCAACTCACTTCGACTGTTGCGGCAAATGAAACAAAAATGAGCGAAGAATTTGCAAAAAATAGCGAGCTCTTAAAAGCAAGTATCTTGAAACTTTCAACAATAGAAATAACCAAAAGTTTAAAAGATCCTATTCAGAAAATAAAAGAAAACTCCAGTAAAATAAGTAAAGTAGAAAAGAAAAATGTGGAATTAGAACAACGCTTATTAAACTCAACAGATGTTATAAAGCGCGATATTTCAGAAATATCAATTACGCTGCAAGTATTCGAAAAAAGGTTAGACACTGGATCTTCAACTTTAGCCCCCAAAAAACAAATTAGTGCGATAAACGATGCACAGATTAAAAAAACAAATTCTGAGTTATCATCTGAATCAAGAAAGAATACAACCAAGCAAATTAAAACATCACCTGACAAATCTGAGGAAAAAGAACAAGTAATTTTTTTTTACTTTTGCGTTTACGGAGTATAGAAAACGTGTTGCAATCGTGCACACAAATGAAATGAGATTTTAACAAATTTTGACGTTTTATAACTTTATGTTTAATCTTACAACTTTTTCTTAATTTAAACGTTCTAGTTTATTTTTGAATAATAATTTAACATATTTTTATTTAACAGAATACTTCCAATAAACAAGATATGCGCCATGTGGCTGACAGCTTAAAACCACCTGAAGATTCTAGTGCTGCTGTTCCTGTAGAAAATCAAACTTCGATTGGCAGTGTTCCCACCACTGTTACACAACCTAGTCAACAATATCAACAGCCCCCTCAGCAGGTACAACAGCAACAATCTGCTATGATTGGCTGTTGTTTGATGTTTTGCCACAGGTCTTTATTGGGTATTCTGTCTGCCAATCTTATCTTAAGAATCTGTTGTAAACATCTGTTTGTAAAGGACTGTAGCCTGTCTGTATTTGTTTTGGTAACCCCCAGGTCTCTGATAAAACAAATACTGCCTTAACATTTGTATTGAAGATTCTTATCTTACTCTGGAGTGACAGGGCTGTGTACTCTCATATCTGGCGTACTTCTTGAGTTGAAGGCACATCTGTCCTTGTAGATACGACCTGCTCCCCCGTCCTTGCTGATCCTACTTCCCAAATACGTTACTCATGTGTCTTCTCCTTTTAGCTGTATGTTATTGATTCTAATGACCTGTTTTATGTTATTGGTTTTTAGTCCTACATTGGATGCTTCTCTAGTAAGTTTGATTAGGTATGTTGTTGCTTGTGAGATAGTAGGTAAATGTTATGGTAGATATCACATAACAAATAATGTACTATAAAATGTAATATTAGATTTTTCAATTTTTTAAAATGCCCACAAGTGAAATTTTTACCACACAAGCTCTAAGATAAAATTAGGCCTTGTCTTTTCAGCTTGATTTAAGTGCACAACCTCAGGGTGGGAGGCTACCAAGACCACCACAATTACATTCTCCTGTAATGTACAACCCTCCTTACCAAGGCAATAATGTTATCATTGTCCCAAACATGGTAAGTTCAAATATTTTGAATATTATTGCGTCAAATGTATTTACATTTTTTCACTACAACGCTGGCATTAAGTGGGCGAAACTCTTGATTAAAAGATAACGAAATTCTGTCCAAACACCCAATTGCCCTAAGGCATTACATCATTATTTTGAATTAATTTTGGTATACCTGTAATTTTTATTTTACTTTGAACAATTGTAAAATGCTACTAAACGGTAATATTTTTCAGTACGCAGCACCTTCTTATCAGAGGGTTCCATTGTATCAGCCCAACCCTGCACCAAATTATGCTGCTGGAAATATAATGTATTTTCAAAATGGATGGCCTAACCAACCATTGCAACAAACTGCGGCTCCTATTGACCCACAGCAAAGGAAAAGGAAAGTACTTGAAATAACAGATCCTAATACAGGGCGAACTATAACAGAGAAACTTTTTAACAAAAGCCATACAAATGAAGCTGATGAACATCATGAAGAACCCCCAGCGGTAAGTATTGTGAAACCTAGCTGCACAAAATTGTGTGTTTAAGTACATTCTAAGCTAACTTTATGTTTAACCTTTGATTTTTCTTAAGTTCTAATTTAATTTTGTATAATGATTTAACATTTTGCTTTAACAGGCTACTTCCAATGAACAAGATATGCGAAAGAAGTTCACACGCCTTGTGGCTGACAGATTAAAACCACCTGAAGATTCTAGTGCTTTTTACTAAAACGATGTCTGAATAGCCTGATTTTTCTAAATTCTATCCCAATGGCACGTTTGGTTAATGTGTTAGGTTTAGACCATTTTTGTATTGTTTGTGTTTGAGTAATAACTTGGTTGTTTATTTTTTTTTTGTTAACTTGATTCCATATAGGCCTATTTTTTATTTAATGAAAGTTATGATTAGTTGTTTTTTTAAATGTAGGCTATGTTAGGAATTAACCCATTAATCCTCCACCGTTAAAGCTTAAACATAAATCAATATTTTTCATATCATATGATTTCTTGCATACATATACAAAGAATAATTGTATAGGTTCCTGCACATTGAAAATTGCCTTAACGGCTAACTTGTTCTTTGTCGGTTTCTAACACCTACTAAACGTTGTGGTGTTTCCTTACGTCTACATACTGAAGTCTAGAACCAAACCCAGGAGTGTCTAGTCAGGCCACTAGAACACGGCTTATTGTAAATCTATCAACATTGGCTCACCCATCGATTAAACAGAACATTTATCAATTTACGCCCTACTATTCTACTCTATTTCACCAACAGCTTACTTTATTAAATCACATAATTAAATTTAGCATACATTTTAATTTTTTGTCAGATCAATTTAGTTGGATTTATTTTTCCGTTTTTGTTTTTCTAAACGTCAAATACAATTGTGAATTTACAGTATATAACAAAAAATACCTTTAGTTTAAATCTCATCCATAATTTTCTTTCCGATATGACCGATGTCGTACATCCTTTATGTAATAGATTCATCACATTTAAGCTTTCTTAGGTAATAATTAGTTGATGCTGTTTGTTTTTCATTTTTCAAAACATTTCTAAATGCCAAATACAATTGTGAAAGTACAGTTTATATAAAAAAAATAGCTTTAGTTTAAATCTCATCCATTGTTTTCTTTCTGATGTAATATATGTCGTACATCCTTTATGTAATCAGAGTTTTTTCCAGTACTGCCCCCCCCCCCCCAAACAAAATGGAATTTGTATATATATATATGTATATATATATATATATATATATATATATATATATATATATATATATATATATATATATATATATCGTAAAAAACATTATGTCATAAATTCTCTATAAGTGAAATCTAAAAGATATGAAAATAATGCCTTATTGATGTTTTAGTGTTGTTTCATTGATGTTTTACAGATGTTTTAGTGTTGTCTAGGTGATACATTATTGATATTTTGTTGACGTTTTAAGTGTTATTTGAACAATTTTCTACTAGTTTAAAAACACACAGCAGAGTAGGATATGTAAAAAAAAAATGGGAAAAAAATGAAAAAAAAAAACAAAAAACAACGAAATGAGTTAAAATTTGTGACTTTTGAACTATAAAATAGACAAACAGAGTGTGCAATAGATCAAAATGTGGATTGTATCCTAGTGCTAAAGATGACATCATATTACGACAATATCAAGTAACGGCATCATCATCTTATGATGGCATCTGTTAAAGAAAAATCTCTTAAAGAAAATCTGCCTGGAAACACTTCAGTAAATAAGTCTGAGAATAGGCACACCATAATGTCTCTAGTCTTAACTACCGGAGTTAGGCCCAGAAATTGAAACTAAATAGAGCAGGGCTTACATTATATTTGATGCTTCGTGCATTGTTCTCATTTAAGTAAAGAAACTGAGGTTGTTGTTTTTTTGTTTACAGTAATATTTTAGTTGTGTCCAGCTTGCACTAGAGGTAAACATTTTTAACTTCGATCTTACCAGAGCAGTGGCAGCTAAAACAGGTACTCAATACTGTTTGGGGAAAAGTGACTTCTTTTATTTCTGTCAATTAAAATGTCATCCACGGATCCAAGTATCAAATGAGCATGTTAGATAACTTTGTAAAAAACTTTCATGAGTTAATATTTTATCGGTTGTGGTTCCTGAATCATACAACTTGGATCCATTGTTACAAGTATCTCCATGCATTAGTAAGTATATTACAAGACGAAAGATGCTGAAACAATTCGTATTTAAAGGGAGTTTTAATAACTGGGATTTAATAAATAAGTTATAAAATCTTAAAATTTTTCTTTTTATAAATAAGGTGGATAGTTTCTAAGAAAAAATAGTAAACAAATACTGGGTGGTAACAATATGTTTATACATCTCACATCCCATTTTAAAAATCATATTCTCAAACATGAACACCATCAATTTAATTATTTATTATATTTGAATAAATAAATCGAAGGTTTCTATGAAACCAATGAAACAAATTGTTAAAAATATAAAACAAATAGCTAAGATCCTTTAGTTGACTTGATTAGCCCCTCCAAGACGTCCCACAATGATTTAAATATCTGCGCATTGGGCTCAAATCAAATACTATTAATAGCTGAACGATGGACTCACTCTATTCTTTTATAGCTGCGCTATGGGATCAATTACTGTGTTTAGCTTTATTCTTCTGACAAAACTAAATGTACCGTGTGGTCGAGTGGTCGAGCAGTTGCGTCAAGGGTTGAGGGTTTATGCTAGTTTATAGATCTAGTATATAATATAGCTAGCAAAATGCTCTAAGTTAAGTATAATATATTTTTTTAAATCTATTTTAGCAGCCTATTTGAATCTAGAATCTACTATTTAAGTATTTATCGTGTTAATCCCTGTCCCATTAAGACAAAACATAGGCCTAAACAGCGAACACGTAGATGACAAGAAAAACAAGGTAATTGTAGAGCTATGCGCATATTTTTCCTGTTAGAATCGGCCTTATTCAAATAACGGCGCATGTAGAATGTGCTCGCCCTTTCAGGTGTGTAGGGCTCACTGTCAGCGCGACTACGAAAAAAAGAGGGGTGATGGGGAGAAGTGGTTTGTTATAGAAACACGTGGAACGATAAGTGTCCTTTAGTTTCAGTATTATGACGTCACGTTAATTAGCCGAATTTTACCCCAACCCATATCGTCGTTAATAGACAGGACATCAAACAGTTCATTCTATTGCCCCACTAAGCCCCCCCCCCCCCCCCCTCTTTGATGAAAATAGCTTATGACTGCCTGCAACCTCTGAGTACTTTGATGAAAAATTGTTTGTAAAATCGATAGGTACACAAAGTCCATGCGCAATCACCCTTTCGATAAAGTACACTTTTAGATAGTCTTAGCACATTCACACGGTAAGTTTACACGCTGCCGACTAACGAACATCGTGGAAAAGTTTTATTTCTAAAATTTAATTCCTAACATATTCCAGATGTTTAGTTAAGCCAGCCCGAAAACTAGTGGTTTTCCAGACTTACAAAAGTCTAACATTTACTTTTCTAGACATTTTCTAGACTTTACATGAACCCTGACCACGCCTTTTGCAATGAGTAATTTTTTGTTATAAAACGAGAAATAAAGTAAACAGAGATAGAGGTCATGAACCCGAGGAGGCCGCGCCTTATAAATGTTTTGATTGTTAAGATTGTAAGTCATCTACGAGTGCAGAAAAAAATCACATTAAATACAAAAATAAACATTTAATACTTTGCAGTTTTTGATTGATATGGCAAAACAACATTTAAATAAACCAAGTGCTTATCATATAAGGACTAATTTACACTAAGTCGTTTAAAATATACTTATTTTTTCAATAATATCTGGTTTCTACTTTTAATATTTAGGCTTAGTAATAGATGTCAACGAAAATATAAAATCCCTATACTACATGATTAATTTATAGCATAGCAAGGGTACTCATTATATGTTATTGAATAAACAATTTAGAAATTTACTCAATTTATTTGGACGTCCACATGGGGTTGGGGGTGTAAAATTCAAAATTTTTGTGGACGCAATAAATGGATGACCGCTTATTAATGTTATCCATTAGAATAATACGTATTTAAAAATAAATTGCTGCCGATGTTAGCTGCTTGCTTAGGTGCGATGGCTAAACTAGATATAGGAGACTATTATTATTTAATTCAATGATCAGAGTTAAGGTTTTGGTGGCTATATCAGCATGAAATCTTATCTTATCTTAGATACAGACGTTTGAATAATACATTGATGTAAGAGGCTTTGTTTATATCGCTTTCGCTGTCGGGGTTAAGGTAAAGCTAAATACATTAAACACGCTATTGATTATGACTTAGCGATCATAATACGGTGTTGTTTACAGATTAGGAACACACTGTTCAATGCCAGTAGCGTAGCGAGGGGGGGGGGGGGACATACGTCCCCGAGCGCCGACCTTAGGGGGCACCAAAATGGGTTGGAAAAATAAATTGAAAGGTTGAAGGGGGTGCAAATCGAAAGTTTGAGGGGGGGGGGGGTGCAAATTGAAATCTTGAGGGGGGGGGGTGCAAATCGAAATCTTGAGGGGGTGTGCAAATCGAACGTTTGATGGGGGTGTGCAAATCGAAAGTTTGATGGGGGTGTGCAAATCGAAATCTTGAAGGGGGGATGCAAATCGAAAAGTTTGTCCCCTGGCGCCGGGAAGGGTCGCTACGCCTCTGTTCATTGCACGTAGTGTGTTCCATTAATGATTAATTAAAGTTAAAGAGTCTGTTATGTACAAATCGACAACTATTACAAGAAGGTGTGGGGGACACCATGACATAAACGTGCTAACTATAGAGAAAACAATGCTACGCCCAACTGTATTATTAACAGACTAAAGTTAAACATTGTTACTATTAAGTCCGCAGTGATTAAAGCTTATACACACACATGTACGCGTATGTGGCATATTTTTACATAGTATGTGGTGATACTACTATATTGTTGAAAATAACTTTTTTTTTAATAATTAATTAAAAGCTACATTTATTTACCTGTAAGTTGATACCAATTTTAATTGGTCAACGGGTGGCAATAAAAGTGGTTAAAACTTAGACTAATTTGTAAATTGGAATGTGAGGCAGGATTGTGACGCAATTTGTGACTCTGTTACAATGAAGGGAGGGGTTAAAAATTTGCCAAAAGAATCAATCTTTTATTAAAGACCGAAAATTCTAAACGATATATCAAACAATTCCAACAGACAAAAGCCAAAATATTTACAGGAATAGTATAAAAGTAATGATGCTCTTGATTACAGAACCGTTTAAAATGAATTTCACACGCAATATATTCAAAACGTGTAGCCTAGATACATTTTTAAACATTTTAAAATGCTTTCAAACTTAACATTTTTTGAAAATGTAAGACTTCTCAGATTAAAAGTTTACAAAGATATTTTCTTCGTCCATGTCAAAAATAATAATCAGACCAATTTCTGCTATTTGGCAAGATACAATGTTGCGCGTTTAAAACTTGCGCGTTGATCTGTTCATAAAAATTCCGGAAATCTCACAAATAGTTCTGAGCAAACAACATTTAGATCAAGATCGTGGTCTTTGTTAAATTCGTTTAAAAAGGTGAGGTTTTTTCAAATATAAATTCCGAAATTAGACTATTAGACTAGCAAATTCAATTGGACACGTAAATAACAAAGGTAAATTTATTAAAAACGAAATATTTTCAGAAATTAAATACACATCTTTCAGTTGAAAATCGATTATACTTTCATGATATAGATCTACTTTTGTAAAACATAAACATCCGTTTCATAGCCATTGCGTATTTTAGTATTAAACTTAATATTGTAATATACATACTTTTTAAAATATGTTTATTTCCATTAATAACTTTAGTTTGAAAAAATTGTATTAGGAAGATACAAGTACTCATGTAAGGAACCCTTTAGACGTCTGGGCATGCAACTGACCAAACTCTCCTTACATAAACCGAGGTAGGGGACCTAACAAAACTATCCCTACATACACCGAGGTAGAGCACCTAACAAAACTATCCCTACATACACCGAGGTATAGGACCTAACAAAACTATCCCTACATATATCTAGGTAGAGGACCTAACAAAACTATCTCTACATACACCGAAGTAGAGGACCTAACAAAACTATCCCTAAATGTACCGAAGTAGAGGACCTAACAAAGCTATCCCTACATACACCGAGGTAGAGGACCTAACAAAACTATCCCTACATACACCGAGGTAGAGGACCTAACAAAACTATCCGTACATACACCGAGGTAGAGGACCTAACAAAACTATCCGTACATACACCGAGGTAGAGGACCTAACAAAACTATCCGTACATACACCGAGGTAGAGGACCTAACAAAACTATCCCTACATACACCGAGGTAGAGGACCTAACAAAACTATCCGTACATACACCGAGGTAGAGGACCTATCAAAACTATCCTTAAATTTACCGAGGTATAGGACCTAACAAAACTATCCCTACATATATCTAGGTAGAGGACCTAACAAAACTATCTCTACATACACCGAAGTAGAGGACCTAACAAAACTATCCCTAAATGTACCGAGGTAAAGGACCTAACAAAACTATCCCTACATACACCGAAGTAGAGGACCTAACAAAGCTATCCCAAAATAAACCGAGGTAGAGGACCTAACAAAACTATCCCTACATACACCGAGGTAGAGGACCTAACAAAATTATCCCAACATATACTGAAGTAGAGGACCTAACAAAACTATCCCTACATACACCGAAGTAGAGGACCTAACAAAACTATCCCTAAATGTACCGAGGTAGATGACCGAACAAAACTATCCCTACATACAGGGTAAAATCTTACTCTACCGCCAGACTTACAATGTTATTTTCTTTAGTTTGTATACAAGGAACTCCCATACATTGTAGGTAGGTGTCTGTAATTGAAGATAGCATCAAATAATCTGCTACTGTTGTTTATCATTTTAACTCTGTCATTAAAGACAACTAAAAGCTTTAAATTATCTTTAAAAACGTGTTACGTTGAGTGCTATGGTTAGAGTTTACTTACGTTAAGGATCATTTTAGGTCTATGATTGGGGATGCTCCTATAATTCACAACACTGAAATAGAAATCGATGTTTCACCTAAACATATTCGTAACATTGGTGCTGTCCGTGTTGGTATTCGTAACATTTGTCTTACCAGTGTTGTTATCCCTATGTTACCAGTGTTGTTATCCCTATGTTACCAGTGTTGTTATCCCTATGTTACCAGTGTTGTTATCCCTATGTTACCAGTGTTGTTATCCCTACGTTACCAGTGTTGTTATCCCTATGTTACCAGTGTTGTTATCCCTACAATGAAATAACTCAACCAGGCTCTGGCACTTAGCCCTAGCCCTTATCATTCTTCAAGCATTTGAGTACTCTTTTTCCATCTGTTTTGTCTATCCACAATACGACATCCAGGCATCTTCGTCATTGTATTTGTGACGTGTTGAATTGCTGGTACAGGCCCCACAAGCAAGGGGTCAAACACTGAACCTCGAGCATTATGAGTCTGTACTTAATGGTTCTATTGCTACTTCTTCCTGGTAAGTCTGTACTTTTTTTTTTTTGCTATTTCTTCCTGGTAAGTCTGTACTGAATTATTTTTTTTGCTATTTCTTCCTGGTAAGTCTGTACTTAATGGTGTTATTTCTTCCTTGTATATCTGAACCTAATTTATTTGCTATTTCTACCTTGTATATCTGAACCTAATTTATTTGCTATTTCTTCCTTGTATATCTGAACCTAATTTATTTGCTATTTCTTCCTGATAAGTCTGTGCTTAATGTATTTGCTATTTCTTCCTGAAAGGCTGAGGCGTAGCCACCCTTCCCGGCGCCCGGGGACAAGCTTTCAATTTGCACCCCCTCCCTTCAAAATTTCGATTTAAACCCCCCCCCCCCTCAAACTTTCAATGTGCACCCCCCTTCAAGATTTCGATTTGCACCCTCTCCCCCCCCCCCCCCTCTCCAATTTTCGATTTACGCCCTTCCCCCCTCAAGCTTTCAATTTATTTTTCCAACCCATTTTGGCGCCCCCTAAGGTCGGCGCTCGGGAATATATGTCCCCCCCGACCCCCCCCCCCCCCTCCCAGCCCCCCTCGCTACGCCTCTGCTGGAAGGTCTGAACTTGAAATGTGTTGTGTATTAGCTTAACTTAAAAATACAATTACAATATACCTAGTGGTGAAACGTGGACTATAGGGGCCTACATTAATTATATACTAATTTGCATCTGTTTTTAAATACCCACATTTGTCTAATTTCTGGGATAATCAATAACGTCTTTCTTCTTGTTTATACAGCAATCCAGTGTCGAAATGATTCTTTTAGAGCTATAATACTTGGCTTTGAGCGAGATTGCATACATTCGTATTGTAACTACACGGGGCGGTTGTACGGTTATTTTTGGCACCCTTTCAAGCAATACCCGCACGATTATCATTGTGGCATTCTTTTAGTTGAATACTGCCGTAGCAAGAATGTTAAAGATTGTGGTGGAGATGGATATTTCTCTGAATGGGACTATGTTAGTATTTAGAGTTTTCTAGACTTGCGTAATATATTTTTTGTTAAACGTATTCATTTGTTTCTAAGGATTGGCTATTTCACCTTTATTACTATTTGTAGTTTATAAACAAAATATTAAATTTTTATTAAAAAATTATATATATATATATATATATATATATATATATATATATATATATATATATATATATATATATATATATATATATATAAAGCAATGTATGTCTGTGTGTCTGTGTGTGTCTTTTATGCATTACCACACCTCTTATCACATCGCCGTGAAACTTTGGGAAGTTGTTGAGAATATTCCTGGGGAGGTTTCTGCGAAAAAAAAATTTCAAATTCGCAGGGGTGGCGCCCCGACACTGCGTGATTTGTTTTTTTTTCTATATACGGTATATAAAAATAAAAGTCGATTTTGGTTTGGCATCGTTCATCCGATACCCATGAGACTTTGGGGAGTTCATTATACCACTCTAGGGAAGGGTTCTGTAAAAAAATATTTTTTAATTTCGCAAGGGCGGCGTCACGGGAGGGTCCGATTTTTCTCTATATACGGTATATAAAAATAATAAAAATGGATTGCAGTGACACCGTTTATCCGATAGGCATGAAACTTTGGGGAGTTCATCATAAAATTCTAGGGAAGGGTTCTGTAAAAATCATTTTTAATTTCGAAGGGCGGCGCCACGGGAGGGTGCGATTTTTCTCTATATACGGTTTATAAAATTTCGGTTTCACACTGTTCATCCGTGTACCACGAAACTTTGGGGAGATAATTAGATCACTCAATTGTAGGGTTCTGCAAAAAACATTGTGTAATATTGCAAGGGTGGCGCCCCCGGGGGGAGCGATTTTTTTTCTCTATACACGGTATATAAAAATAAAACTCGGATGCGGTTCATCCGAGTGCCAAGAAACTTTAGGGAGTAGATGAGAATACTCCCGAGAATATTTCTGCGAAAAAGAAAACTAAAGCTTTTTATGGGCGGCGCCATATAGGGTACAGCTTTCGTCAATACAAGGTTTGGTGCCCAGAGTTTTAGAGCGACTATGTTGGCACTTGGCATCCGTTAATCGAGCGTCTTGCATAGCGAGTAAGGGGTACTACTACTACTATATTTAGCGGTAAAACTACAACAGGCTTCTAAAAAACTTTGTAACGCGAGGAATTCCTTCTGTACAGTTTCGTCACTTTGCGAAAGATGAAAAAATAACTTTCTGAATATGAGGAGCCTACTGTAGAGTTTCGTCACTTTGCGAATGATGCAATAAGCATCTATTATTAGAAAATCCAGTCAGAAATTGAGATCGAGCATCTAATAATAGACCATTAGTAACGCTAGCATATTGCATCAGTCACACTGATATTTAAAACACGTCAAATAATTTGTTTACGTGTTAAAGAAAAAAATCCTGTTCATTTATGGCACTTTAGCGAATGACGAAATCTGCGTCATTATTAACAGGATGCTATTTGGCCGATGGCGCCTGTTATTTTTAAGGAGCCAGGGGCCGTACGCCGCGCCTATGCGGTAGTGTAATCAGGGGGTGGGGGCCCTGAGAGCGCCCCTCTACGTCTCTGACACAGAGGCGGTCATCGAAGTGTGTTCTACCATATTATTTCGGTGAGTTATTAATGTACACTCAAGGTTTTCATGCGGTAGTGTAGGTAAACCCGTGTCCTGATATTTATGATCCAAGAACAGGCATTGTTTACATTTAAATAACTCATTTTTAGAAAAGAAGGTCACGCGTCTAAGAACATATAATTGATCATGCGTTGGTGAAATCCTAATGTATTTCGTCAAACTTTCTTCTATCCCCGCGACAACGCGCGGGGGTCGGGTACGCTAGTACATATATAAAACAATGTATGTGCGTCTGTGTAGGCCTATCTGTCTGTCTGTCTTTTATGCGTTACTACACCTTTCATCCGATCACCATGAAACTTTGGGAAGTTGTTGAGAATACACCTGGGGAGGTTTCTGCGATCCAAAAATTTCAAATTCGCAAGGGCGCGCCCAGGCTGGGCGCGCCCAGGCAGGGCGCGATTTGTTTTTTCTCTATATACGGTATATAAAAGTCGATTGCTGTCTCACACCGTTCATCCGATCGCCATCAAACTTTGGGGAGTTGATCAGAACACTCCAAGGAAGTGATTAGAACACTCCATCTGTGTGTATGTAAACTCGATAACTTGAGTTCCGTTTCAGTTAGGTTGACGAAATTTCATATATAAATATTATATCGAGTTTGTAGTTTTCAATATTTGACGCCCCGGGCCTTCATGTGAGCTCTATAGCGCCTATGTTCGCTTTAGTGAATTCAATATCCCTATGGATAAAATGGGGTAATATAGTCGTTTACTAAGACATATCAGGCGGTTCGGCCGGCGCCCCAGCATTGTTCATTTTGGCATCCTGGCTAATTAAATTTTTGCATTAAAGTTTGTGTTTATGTTCTGCGTTAGTGATTGCCTTTAGGTTTGAGCTTGTGTTTGACTTTGTGTCTGTGTTTATGTGGGCGTTTGCGTTTGCGTTTGGGTTTGTGTTTATGTTTGCTTTTAAATTAGCGTTAAATTGCGTTGTAGTTTTGTTTACGTTTATGTTACTTTTCTGTTATCGTTAAGCTTGTGATTGTGTTTGCGTTTTTGTTATCGTTTTTGTGCGTTATGTTTCCGTTTTGGTTATGTTTGCGTTTCTTTTTGTGTTTATGTTATGTTTTTGGTTGGTTGTGCTTAGGGTTGATTCGAAAAGTAATATATTTCCAAAACCCGTCAATGCCATGTATATGCTGCTTACTAAACATTCAAGTCATAGTCCTTTACAGATATGTTTTTCATATATATATATATATATATATATATATATATATATATATATATATATATATATATATATATATATATATATATATAAAATACATAGTACGTAACAATAACTAACAAGATATAACGAATTAATAGTATAGAGCAGGGGTCGGCAACCTGCGGCTCGCGAGTCGCATGCGGCTCTTTTGATGTCAAGTGGCGGCTCTCAAGTTCCATGCACAAATATTAGAAATTATTGTATCATTTTATTTTCAAAACCCATAACAAATTATATACTGTAAAGAAACACAACTTTAAACATAATAAAAACTCTAATCAGCGAACAATGAGAATAGGTGGGAGTAGAGAGTATTCGGATAGCTGACTGCAGATTGGGCACCAAGCCCAGCCCCACAGCAGTGCAATACTTGCCACTTCCCAAGTGCCGACTTTTTCGAACGTCTTTAAGTGGGGAATGTTATTTTATTCAAAATTCATTTCCCTAACTGTCAGTAATCGTTAATATGACCTGAGTGACGTAGTTTTTTAGTTGTTAGCTTCCTACGGTTGAGTTAGGTAGTGGACTGTGGGGTACGAGTTTACCCTAGGTTATGTGGGGTGGAAGATAAGCCTGGTGAGAACCAAAGGACAGAAGCGACCGATTCACGGTAATCAAACCGATATTCTAGCCAGTTAGTCGGAGTTTGCCTTTTGAGGCCTGCCTGGCTAATGGGAGACACCTCCTGAGGGGTGATGTCAGTAAAGAAAAGAAAATACTTTAAAAAAACTTTTTTAAAAAAACACGTTTTTCTTGTGGACTAAAAACTAGAAAATAAATTTTTCTTCCGACCCTAGGGGATCTACCAATGACTGCTCGTAGATTTTGTGCTTCCTCGAGCTGTGCAGGTTCTTGTGATGACTGTTCATACATTTGATGACAAAAAACGTGGGTACGTTCACCATCAAATTTCCAAATTTCGTGAGTTGTGTGCTTTTCGCTTTAATCATAAATCTGCCCGACCCACGTTTTTTGTCATCAAATGTATGAACAGTCATCACAAGAACCTGCACAGCTCGAGGAAGCACAAAATCTACAAGCAGTCATTGGTAGATCCCCTAGGGTCGGAAGAAAAATTTATTTTCTAGTTTTTAGTCCACAAGAAAAACGTGTTTTTTTTTAAAAGTTTTTTTTAAGTATTTTATTTTCTACTTTTTAGTCCGTTGCTACACATGAAAAACGTGGTGTTTAAAAAGTTTTTTATATAGTTTATTTTCTACTTTATCTAATGACTTGATTAAGTATGACTTGACTAAGTGTTTTTAAATACATAAAAATTTAGAGGATTTTTTATCAAAATAAAAAGGATCAAAAGGTTTTTGAATGCTTTTAGGTAGTTGGCCCACCGTCCATCCCTCCTCGAACAGATTAACTGTCGATTCTCCACCCACCTTAAGCATTAGACTGTAAAACATTTTAAAAAACGTGGTAATAAAAAAAAAAAGAATTGCACACCAACTGAAAAGTTTCTCTTTCAAACCTGACGGTCTATGGGGCAAGTGAAGTAGAGTTCACTTGTTTCTGTGACCTCGGCATATGAAGAGATAGTGTGGTCAGCACTATGCCCAGCCGCCTTTACTTTCCCTAACAGGAGTTAGGTACCCATCAGAGTTGGGTGGACTCAGGGACGGTCTACTGACTTGAACTCGGATTCGAACTCCGTCACACACAAAGTGAACGCCTAATAAAATGTGTATACAAGTGCGGGATATTATTATTACTAGTACGTGTTTGAGAAATCATGTCCTCAATTTTAGGGTCCTAGGGGCGTAATTTAATTAAGCTAATTTAGGTCTCTAATCACTAGTTTTTATGATTGCATCTGAAATTGTTAGGCGAAAATAGCCTGCATGCCGAATTTCAGATCTCTAGAGCAATCAGAAGTGGGCTAATTTTCGTTGTCAATTTTAACAACAAACAAGTGGATTGGGATAGTCATATAATTATATTATTTGATAACTAAGTTTATCATAGCAGAGCTAGCTAAAATAATTTAATATGTTTTGTGCGAAACATTTGTATGTTTTTATATGAATAAATATTATTTCATATTTATAGCTATTTATTTTAAATTAAAAAATTAAACTTGTTTACATAATCCTAATCAAATACCAAACATTGAAATAAAAATGTTAGTGGCTCTTTAAAACCTGGAAAATTTTGTAAATTGTTACTTTTGGCTGTTCCGTCTCAAAAGGTTGCCGACCCCTGGTATAGAGGGTATCTAAATTTATACAGACATACTCGTATATCTATTACTAAATAGCTAGAAAATTATTTTCGGTTTGTGTAACTCGTTTCTTTAAGTTTTGACCTTTTTTTCAACCACCATTTTTTCAGCAATGCGTGATGTGGAGTGTGTGTAACCCTAAAGAAATTTGTGGACCCGATATTCGCGATGAGTGTAATTGCCTCAAAGGGAATCCATACTACTTTTCAATTCGTCCAGTCAATTTTGACTATGCAAAACACTATCGTTTGGTATTTAATCTCGGTGTATCAATTAGCAACACCTTTGATATTACTAAATATCCAGGTAACAATTAGTTGTTTTTTTTTTAAATGTGTTATGATTAAATGTGGTCAAATTGCCTATATTCCCTATACTGTGTATTCACAGGCCAGAAAAAAAAAGCAAAGCAAAACGGTTTTAGGGAGGCTCACTAACTTTGAAATTTCGTTATTTTTCGAGTTAAACATTACCAACGAAAACTAAAGATCAATCTTAAATCTATCAAATACTTATTTTGTTGATAATAAACTCATCTGGAGCTTAATTACTTATTTATATTAATTGGCCACTCCCAACTTTGCAAATCAAAAAGATCCGTGACAACCATGTGCCTGTCTGAAGAGGAGAACTCTGCAGGATGGACCTTGCAGCTGATTTGATTTTAGCAGAATATGCACAGTACATTTGATTTTATTACCACATTTCTATTCGTATGGACACTGTCTTCGTCAGAATAAAAAATCACATAATGGAATTAGATCTAGATCTAGTTCTAGAATTTTTAAATATTTTTATTTAATTTTTTTTTTAAATGGAAGGGTGTTTAAAAAGGAAAACTAAACCCAAATTAATGAAAAACATGTTTAAGAATATACAGTATAGATCTAATCTTTTTAAAGATATTCAATCCCATGCATGTTTTATTAACTAGTGTAAGTGTTTTAGCAATGCTTAATTAGGGCAATTCATAAAATATAGCGATGTCATTGTAAAATTAATCTAACCCTCTTCTCTCACTTGACTTGGGACAGGTGTGTTATTTACAAAGTTTTGTCTATGCTCAGTTTAAAATGTAAAGATTTGTAAGTATTTGATTTATTTTAAAAAACACTGCAATAGCATTCAAATTCATCAAGTTAGCGAGAAATACATTCTAAACAGCGTCACGGGCAGTGCGCGTGACAGACATCTCGCTCGCTTAGTTTTGTCAACCAGAAAAGTTAGCCTATCAAATACACTTAATTAGGCCTATAAAATAAAAAGAGGCCAATCGCATTAAAATGATCGCCTGTGAGCGAAGATATATGCAAATTACAAACATCGCTAGCCCGCCTGCGTTCTTTTGTCAACCAGCGAGAGAAAACTCACAGCACAGTGTGAGCATGCGCTAAATCTAGTCCAAGTACTTTGTTATCCCAAGTTATAATTAGTATTGTAGGTCTAGATTAATATAAAGTTCACATTAAATGTATTTAATTAAGATGTGTGTCTATTTGATTTTTCAAATGTCAGCGCATTAAAATTAATCACCCGAGAGCGAGAATTAGGCCTATGCCTATGCATTCCAAACATCGACACAGACCCCGTGTGTCACACGACTCGCTCGCTCGCGCTGGTTTTTCAGCGAGAGAGGCATCGCCCGCCACAGCGCGGGCACAGCACACATGTCCAAGTCCATGCGTACTTGGTTTACTAAGTACTAATTAGTAATATAAACTTAGACCCAACGCTAAAATTATTTAATTTATCAGGCCTCTAAAATCGTTTTAATATTAACATTATTAAGCCTAATAAATGTATCAACGAAGACCAGTGCAAATTAGAGGCGTAGCGACCCTTCCTGGCGCCCGGGGTCAAACTTTTCGATTTGCACCCCCCCCCCCCTCGAGATTTTGATTTGCACCCCCCTCAACCCTTCAATTTATTTTTCCAACCCATTTTGGCGCCCCCTAAGGTCGGCGCCCGGGGACATATGTCCCCCACACCCCCCCCCCCTCGCTACGCTACTGGTGCAAATAATATTATAATTAGCCTAATTAAAGTTTATGAAATCAATAAGAATTAAGACAAATTAATTAAGCTATAACAAATTTGAAAACAAATAATTAGGCCTAAATAAGCACACAAAGACCAACGCTCTCTACTAGATCTAATTCCAGGGAACAACAAAAAAATAAAAAAATAACAGATCGTTGTGGTTTTAGAGTCATAGTATAATCCAAAAGCAAGGTGAAATATCCATAATTAGGCTTAATTAGTCTAATTACGCTAGCAAAATAAGCTGAAAAAGAGTGTCAAGTGAAAAGAAAATACAATTAAATAAGCAGCGAGAGGATACTACTGTACAGCTTCCGTAACAATAGCGATGACGTCACAATAAAAAATTACGTGCTTTCAGTGACCTTTTTTGGATGCCGATTTCTTAAAATGGATTCAAAATAATTACAATATTTTTTCACTAAACGATCAATCTAATAATACTCTACCTTACAGTGCCATTTAGACACCTAACAGTCCTTTATTTAAAGTTTTTAAACAACTCAAACTATACCCATGTTTCCGTTTGACCTCCATGGTCGGAAGCAAATTTAAAAAAAAAAATTCTGCCAAAAATAGCTTTGTCATCTTCAGATAGCTTAAAATACGCGAAAAAAACGCCATCTTTCGCGTGATAATTATTTTTAAACTTAATGTTAAGGTGGTCTCTCGAACAAAGCAGAAAAAAATTGCCCAATCGTAGGTCCAGGTGAGGTGGCCATGTTCTGGTTAGCAACCAAGGACGCTTTCAAGTTAGTTTAACATAGCGCACAACGCACAACACTAAACATGTTGAATCCAACACAAAATACAACAGAAAATACAACTTGCTTAGTTAATTGTAACGAAGACTAAAAAAAATAATTATATAGTATCGAGCATTTACATATAGATCTATTTGGTACGCTCGATTGTTGTGAAAGTGTTTAGTTATGAGATTTGTTTATAAATAAAATAAATTACATTTTACAGCATTTATAATAACAAGCTTTTATATATGCAATGAAAAAAAGATTTTCTTTAAATATCATTATGTACATATATAATTAACTATAGTTAAACGCGGGGGGATTGCTATATTACAATAAGTATATATTAACTGAATATGGAGTAATCTATTTTTCTTATTTATATATAGACCGGGACACCAATACTGCCTAACGTGGATAGCAGAGGCGTATCCAGGTTTTCGTTGAAGGGGGAGCGAAAAGAGCAAAAAAAGGCGCCTAATTTTTAACACGTTCTATATACGTGTATTATATATATATATATATATATATATATATATATATATATATATATATATATATATATATATATTATTAGCTGTATGTTATTACTTCGCTATGATGTAAAATAAACTGAAAGTAGCACTCTTAAGAAATAAGAAAAAACACACAATGTAGGCCGACAAAACAAAAATTGTATCAATCCAAACAAAACAAAAATATACACACACTACAACCAAAAACAATGAACGTAACACAATCTTTTTTGTAATTCTTGTAAAAAAATTTCTTACAAAATAATTCCTGGGAAATTATTCAAGACAAGTGAAATAGGGGAAATAATCACTCTCTTAGTATAAATATGTATATATCTATACATTTAATTATAAATTTCAAAACAAATAAATAGTTACTTTAGAATATAATCAAATTGTTTAACACTATTCGTGTTTACAATTTTTTTTTGTCTATAATAAAAAATTAATATATCGTCATCATAAATGCCAAAGTATTACAGCATAATGAAAGTTTTTTTAAATCAGAGATTGTATAAAACCACGCTTTTCGTTATTATAGAAAAACATTCGGAATAACAGTCTACATTTAACTAAATTTCGGTCTTTTAGTTCAGATCATATATTTTTAATTAACTACTGCTTCTTTGTGTGTTTTAAAGATCATTTTTTAACATAGTGATAGGTATGGGTTAGATCACTGTATTGATCACACACATTTTTACTGGTAATTGCAAAAACAATATTCACAGAATTTTACGTTTAAAAAGCTAATTTTCTGGCGGCATGGTACTTTGGTACATCATTACGCGTTTTTCTAATTGTACTTAACAGATCAGTTCGGGGTGGGTAGGGGGGGGGTGGGTTCAACTTCATTCACCACTGTCCGGTCACTTTAGGTCAATTATCCAACCCAGTGTATACCTAGATGTGACATTAATGTTGCTCTACACAATTGAGGTGGTGAAGTGTGTGTGTGGGGGGGGGGGGGGGGGAGATAACCAACTCAGAGTGAATATAGCGTCAGTTTTTAGATGACTTTCCTAAACATACATATATACAGTGGCGTAGCGAGGTCGGGTGTTGTAAACGTAGACACTACTAGACTAGTACAATAATGCTTAATTGCTGCATGAAAAGAAAACTTGTGATTTACATAGATGTGCCGACCAAAAATATTTTTTAACAAATATCGTTGTTCAAATCTTTGAGTTTAAAAAGTTTCCAAAAAGGCGCCACTTTGCTGAAAATGGCCAGAGGGGGAGCGGCCGCTCCCCCTGCTCCCCCCCCCCCCTGCGTACGCTACTGGTGGATAGTCTTGATATTTATGTGCAGCTGGATACCTTTACCAAGTTACTTAGTCTGAATAATCTTCATATTTATGTGTTCAACTAAATACTTTTACAAAATTACTAAATTTGGATAGTCTTCATATTTATATGCAACTGAATATTTTTTTTACCAAATTACTACATGTGGATAATCTTGATAGTTATGTGCAACTGAATATTTTTACCCAAATTACTAAATATGGATAGTTTTCATAGTTATGTACAACAGAATATCCGTACCAAATTCATTTGAGCGACACACTGTTATTGTTTTTCTATTACTGGTGTAGCCGTCGCGCGCTTTTCTGCAATATAGTTCTATGCACAGACTGACAAGACATTTTATAATTGTTTCATTAATGCGGTTCTAGTAGTTTAATTTTAGATGTTTGACCTAGTTTATCTAAACAGTTATCTAAATGTAAACAAGGCCGAAGTTTCAACACATTTTTCCAGAAATCTCCTTAGTATTCTCATCAACGTCATATAGTTTCATGTGATAATGCATAAAAGACAAACCACCACAACAGACTAAAGTCATACTTTCATTTACACACTTATATATATATATATATATATATATATATATATATATATATATATATATATATATATATATATATATATATATATATATATATATATATATATATATATATATATATATATATATATATAACAGTTGCATGCAGAATTTACGTGATTTTAAAAGTTTACCTGCCCATTTCCTAATGACAAAGTTTGTTACTCAAATGTGTAAAAGAAAAATAATAAGCATTTGTGTCACATTATTATACATGAAACCAAATGTTAGACATTAATTAGAACAACTGAAAAGATGTATGTGTGGTAGTAGTGGGTACACCATTCGTGTATTATACTTATTAACTTACCTTTGTTTTAAAAAATCGAATACATTGGTGTATAAACCTATTTATATCCAGTTTAGAGTATAACTAAAACACTCATTCTTAACCTAATCGTAAAGACAACTTTAAACTAATAAGCCAGGCATAAAAAAAAAACTACTATAGATAATATGGGATCTGGTTCGTATTATATCACAAAACATTGGACATTCCTGAAACCTTCAACTGCATGGCTTTACACACGATTCAAGAATGCCCCCTCTCTTATCTTCCAAATAATTTTGTAAACATTCCAATGTGAAACTATTAAATAACTAAAGATTAATCGAAACTGTAACATGTAAAAATAAATTGCTTGGAAAAACGGACTATGGTCTATACTAATTACACAAACTATTTTCCCCTTTCAGCCCACCTCATCCATATGTATAGTATATATATATATATATATATATATATATATATATATATATATATATATATATATATGTTTGTGTGTGTGTGTAATTGTATAATAGTATACAGATGACTGGGATCGTGATGTTCCTCGTGAAACAAGCTTGGAATCAAAGGGTGGAAAACGTCGCCTAAAGCCCGGTATTCATATATTCATTGAGATTTTTTTAAAGTAAATAGCACATTTAAAAGTAGAAAACAGTCATAGAAATGCTTATTATGTATAAATGCATAAAATCACTCAACACACGGCACTAAATATCACGACATTAAAACCTTATCACAGAACACAACATTAAAATACAACAATTTCATTAGCTACTTAAAATCTTACAAGGTGGGCTGTGGTGTGTAGAGAGCATAAATAATGAGGAAATTGAATTATTTTATCAAATAATGTTTATTTTGCAAAATAACAGTATGTATCAGATTTGATACAGTATGCAACGGTGGGTAAAAATTTGTTAAAATTGACAAAAAAGTATTTTTTACTTATCATTGAAAATTTATTGAGTAATTATTAATTTGAGTAAAACACTTATTCATCCCAAATCTGGAGCATCAAAAATTCATTTACAAGATAGTAATTTACATTTCTTTTCACAATATTGCTATTACCAGTTATGTCATATTTCTTAGTAATCATGCATCTTTTTATTGTGTAAGTCAATAAGCAGCATCACTTTGCTCAGCAGGACACCTATCTAGTATAATTTGAAATTGTTATTGTTTTAAATGCAAAGTAGTTTTTAATGACTCAAACTTGTTGATATGAAAGGAATTAGAATATATCTACAATGCTGATATTTAGCCATTATTAGAACTTTTTCCTATGCAACGAAACCAGAGACATAACTGTTAGAAGCCAATGGATTGATTTATTTCTGCTATGTCAAAGACTTCAAGCTTTATCTTGATTCCTCTGTGCAATGTAGATCTAGAAAATCCTTTCACCCAGTATACTAAGATAGTCTTTATCCATGGTGTGAAATAAGTTAATCTTGAACAGCCGGGAGGCCTTGCACTAAAAACTATGTTGGTCAGTTCCTATTCCTCACAAATAATAGAAAACATTCATGTGTTTTAGTTAACCACTTTGCTGGACTAGCATCTGCTTACATCTTATGAATGTACATCTTATAAATGTAGGCCTACAGCTAATGAATGTATATCAGAATAAAGTCTACCGCTTTACTTGCTCCGAACCAATCCCTATATTCTCTTTACATCACTTTCTAAGTGTTCAATTTCAGTTACAGTAACACCTTCAACATCAGGTAAATGAACAGATGAATAATTAGACATTAGTGACCAAAGAAATATACAGTCTCTATTTCAGACAAAATTCTTTTGTGGGAATCTTTACCCATCCTGTAAAAAAAAAATGTCACTACTAAAAGAAACTATATATTATTTCTAGATTTATTTACTTTATCTTCATGCATGCACAAATTAAATTATAATTTAAATAAAAATAATGTATCACTGCTACTTTTTATATACTAGAGGATTAGGATTTTATTTGCAAGTAAAATACTATATGCAAGAATGTCAATCAAATATTTTTATGCCATTTTTTTAAAAACAATAATTGCAAGTAATAAGTACAATATGTACTATAGGCCTAGATATTAGATTGTAACTTCATAAGATGAATAATCAAATATTACACCAACTTCACTATCATTTACATTCTCCTTGAAGTCTACCATCTATTTCATTCAGAACAGTTTTGCCACACAATTTATCGCACGCTCTAGACAAAAAGAGATCCTGTAAAAATAAATAAAACAATGTCAGCACTGAAACAATCTCTAATCATTCATGAACTTCATGGATTTATAAATTAAGTTTTAATTACTATTATAAACATAAGTAAACCACTACTGCCTATAGTAATCATTACTGTTTGTGTACCGGTATGAAGTAAATAATAAGTTTACTAAGTATGTAGGCCTATGCCTAATATTATTACTATTTTTCTTCCATAATAATTACTATACTACTTTCTAAGCTTATTAGACCCAAACACTGTCTCTGTGTAAGAATTAGTATGATTAGAGAATTATATGCAAGTTATTCTAAGCAGCAACTAGTAAAAATCAGTCTAATACTATATTATTATTGTTATACATTATGACACTTTGTTTGGTCTTCAATAGCAGCACTACACTGTACACCCCTTATTATAGGCTTATTATAGTAGCACACTGATCATCTGTATATATATATAGTACTGAGTAAGTGCTAAATCTAAGTAAAATTAGTATACAATAGTCTACAGCTTGACTATGTTACTATTGTTACAGATTTTGACACTATTTTTCTTTAATAATTTACATATTATTATTGTAAAAATATGAAAGAAAAACAACCCTAAGCTAGTGTAAGAACCAACAGTTGACTAAAGTCTACCTACTAGATGTTAGGAATTGTTCTATCAACTAATTATTATACTACAGAAAAGTCACTATACAGTAGTCCCAGCTAATGTCATGGTCATACCGTTGCATAGTGTATCAAAACTGTTACATACCGTAATTGGACATTATCAGTACAAGTATAAAGAATAAGTATGCAAACAATTTATTTTTAGGTAAAATTACTCACCTGAGATTGGTGAATTTTTTTTTCAAGAAGAAAAACACGGCCTGTGAATTTTTATTATTTTCTCAAAAACACCTCGATCAGAGCTGTTCGATCAGTGTAAAAAAACGGAATCACACTCGAATTGTGTGAGACGAAACACACCTATAGTCTGTTTCGGGTATGAATTTGGGACCTAAGGTGATCAAGCTAGAGTATGGCGTATTAAAAACTCAGATTTTAACATTTGTGTAGATTCAATGGGGGCTATTTCACTTTGTATCAAAATTGATACAACATGAAATGAAGGGTTAATTTAAACTTTTTAGTCTTTCGTTTGAAATGAAGTTGACACAACATAGGCTACGATTAAAAATATTCGCTTTAAAGTCCGACCAGTACATTGTGATATCTAAAAGACATAGATCCTTCGCAGCAAAGTTTGTTGACGACGCCTTGGCTAGAAATCAATCAGCCATGAAAAACCGTCCAACCGTTTCTTTACTTTCTGTTATCGACATGTTTTTGTTCATTATATTTTACAGAATCAATCCTTATTTATCTGGGAGCTGTGTTTGCCGTAGGTCTTGCCAACATCAGACTGTAGCCAGACACTGAGAGGAACAGCCCAAACAGCAATGTTTGACACAAGATCATGTTTAAATTCTGTGTTTTAAGTTTAGCTTCATTTGGTCTAATTGCAATGTTTGACACAAGATTCTGTTTAAAATCTGTGTTTTAAGTTTAGCTTCATTTGGTCAAATTGCAATGTTTGACACAAGATTCTGTTTAAAATATGTGTTTTAAGTTTAGCTTCATTTGGTCTAATTGCAATGTTTGACACAAGATTCTGTTTAAAATCTGTGTTTTAAGTTTAGCTTCATTTGATCAAATTGCAATGTTTGACACAAGATCCTGTTTAAAATCTGTGTTTTAAGTTTAGCTTGATTCGTTCAAATTGCAATGTTTGACACAAGGTTCTGTTTAAAATCTGTGTTTTAAGTTTAGCTTCATTTGGTCAAATTGCAATGTTTGACACAAGGTTCTGTTTAAAATCTGTGTTTTAAGTTTAGCTTGATTTGGTCAAATTGCAATGTTTGACACAAGGTTCTGTTTAAAATCTGTGTTTTAAGTTTAGCTTCATTTGGTCAAATTGCAATGTTTGACACAAGATTCTGTTTAAAATCTGTGTTTTAAGTTTAGCTTCATTTGGTCAAATTGCAATGTTTGACACAAGATTCTGTTTGAAATCTGTGTTTTAAGTTTAGCTTGATTCGGTCAAATTGCAATGTTTGACTCAAGGTTCTGTTTAAAATCTGTGTTTTAAGTTTAGCTTCATTTGGTCAAATTGCAATGTTTGACACAAGATTCTGTTTAAAATCTGTGTTTTAAGTTTAGCTTCATTTGGTCAAATTGCAATGTTTGACACAAGATCCTGTATAGAATTTTTTTTTTTAAAGTTTAGCTTGATTCGGTCAAATTGCAATGTTTGACACAAGATCCTGTATAGAATTATTTTTTTTTAAGTTTAGCTTGATTCGGTCAAATTGTAATGTTTGACACAAGATCCTGTATAGAATTTTTTTTTGTTTAGCTTGACTTGGTCAAATTGTAATGTTTGACACGATCCTGTATAGATTTTTTTTTTAGCTTGATTTGGTCAAATAGCAATGTTTGACACAAGATCCTTTTTAGAATTTGTGTTTTAAGTTTAGATTGTTTCAATGTCTAAAATAAGAAAAAATACATTCATTCATCTATGTATGCTACCGATTGGCTTCACCGGCGGTATCTATTTATCTTTAATATTTTAAACTACCATATCTAAGATTTTTGTTTAAATCTGTACAATAAATGGAAAAATATGCTTATAGTAAAAAATATATTATTGGAAAATTTAGGACAAGAAACTTTTTATTGATCAGGAAAATTGAAATGAAACAATGCAGATTATAAAATAAACGAAAAAGGAGGGGATTTTATGTACTGTCTTTGTTTCCTTTGTTTTCTTTGCAAACTTTGTTGAGCCGTTTCTATTTGCCATGCAGGGAGATTCAGCAAGATCTGAACACATCAATGCTTCATCCGTCAGCTCGCTGTAAATATAGAAACCGAAGTTTCATTCAGTTTTAACGGTAACCCAAACTGAGTCTTAGGTGCTTTGACAACTGGTGCTTTGACCATAGAGAGTTTGACCATAGGGGTCTTGTCCACAGCGGGGCTTTGAACACAGATGGGCTTTGACCATAGTGGGTAGGATGAGATATTGGTTTTACTTGTGCTGAAAACTGGGTCATCTAATTTCCAATTAAGTTCCAATTAACTCATCCTGGGCTAACATTTTATAAGTCCTGCTATTGACAGCTCCATTGGCTGTAAAAAAATATTACTTCTGCTGTTTGAGCGTAAGTTACGCATCAAATTAATTGAAATAACAAGCACCTACTTCTCGTGTGAGATTATTTTTATGTTGCTGTTGCTGATTTTGAGAAATAGCAGGATCCAAACAATACTACCGGAGATTCTGTGTAAGTTATATATTAGGACTTGACTGGAAAGGTTTGGAGAGGCGTTGTGACTGTACCGTATTGTCACTAAGTTAAACTTTTTGTATGCTGGACTAGTGTACGAGTGAGAGTTAAAGTAAATGGTTGTATGAGTTCTCTACACAAACAACAAAGTATGTTCACACACATTTTCAATCTTTTGGAAAATCTTTTTAAAAGCCTTAAAAAATTGAATAAAAAATGTGTATTTTTTAATACTCCTAAAATAATATCAATAAACACTCGAAAAATGAATTCAACAAACTAGATCTATACATCTCAATTTAAATTTAAAGATAAAATATATTAATAGTCTTAAAATGTCACAGCAAAACACAACATTCTGATACATGTAAAAGGTAATAAAAGAAAATATGGATTTATATGTACATAAATAAAAATAGAATATTTAACAAACCAAAAAAATTAAAAAGGTACATGACAGCAGTATAGTAAGGTTGTTACAGCAGTGATAAATAAAAAAAATCCCTTCAGACTAGACGATCTTTTAAACAGATGAAGTAGAGCTCACCTGACCTGACCTTGTGAAGGAATATTCTGGTTAAGATTAGGCCCAGTTGGAAAAAGAAAGCAGGGAGACGTGCACGCCAGGGAAGCAGCTGGCAGAGGCAGGACTGTCATGAGGGACTGCCAGGAAGCATCTGGCAGAGGCAGGACTGTCATGGGGGACTGCCAGGAAGCAGCTGGCAGAGGCAGGACTGTCATGGGGGACTGCCAGGAAGCAGCTGGCAGAGGCAGGACTGTCATGGGGGACTGCCAGGAAGCATCTGGCAGAGGCAGGACTGTCATGGGGGACTGCCAGGAAGCAGCTGGCAGAGGCAGGACTGTCATGGGGGACGGCCAGGAAGCAGTTGGCAGAGGCATGACTGTCATGGGGGATTGCCAGGAAAATTGACTGTGACTGAAAAAAAGTGGAGGGAGCTTTCTGTGGAGGCCCCGTGTGTCTTGGACACAAAAAGAAGTTGCCTATATTTTCCCTTACTTTGATGCTGGGCGGCAACTTTTACGAACCGATGCACAGGGTTAGAGAATTGTGGGTTTATAATCGTGCGTTCCACGCTCTCCCAAAACTCTTGAAGACGTACAGCTCTGATGCTTGCGTGCTACATTCTACATGTTTTTAAGTGTATTAAATTAATACAACATAAAGATCTTGTGACATTTAAATTTAAAATGATTTCACAACGTTGTAGAATTTATAAATATTAAAATAATTTTGAACATTGCAATATTTGGTCAATGTGCTTTTCTTAAAATCATTCTGGTCGAGGCTAAAGTAATGTTTCTGTAACCAACTAAAATTTAAATTAGGGACAATTTATGTACGGTGTATAAGGGAGGAGAAACTAGTTTCTTATAGCAGCCAAAAATATACATATATCATTTTAAATTATATAGAATAGAGATGTCAGAATTTACAACAGAAACATCTTTATCTAAACTTAAAGTGTCGTGCTCTCTATTCCTTCACTATCTCGCTCGCTCGCGTTAGAAGATCTGTCAGAGCGATCAGCTACTCCGAGGCATAGGAACTTCATGCAGCAACTAATGATAAAAAAAATGGATTATTATAAAGGCTTATCAAAAGAAAGCTTTGTTTTTCTTTTCAAATAAATTTTCTTGAATTTAATTAATTGATCTTGATCACATGTTTATTTCATAAATTTTAGAGATATACCGCGTTTAATTTTTTGTATCAAATGTGCAGGAATTCAATTGATTATTTTATATTGACAATGTCATAAAAAGCTATTTTATAAAATTAGTTTTGAGAAATAAATAAAATAAACACATACCAATACAACCCGGTTAACATCACAAGGACTGCAACTACGACCCCCACAACAATTAGAATTATCTCAGTAGTTCCTGAAACAGGAGGTATCCATTCTTACTAACCTACACTTACACAAATATATGTAGGCCCTATATGTGTTTAAACATATGTGTGTAAATATATAGGCCTACCCACATACAAATATATACATATTTAAATTTAGAGAATGAGAAAGAGTAGGTTAGAGAGTGAGATAGTGAGATAGTGAGATAGTGAATGAATCAAAGCTTTAATTTGAGAAGGAATTGTCAGGGAAAATTGGCTGCAAATGTATTTCACAATTCGTCAACTTTTCTGTCATTGCTTTTAAAAATGTTGTGGCTTCAAAGTAACCTTTTTTGTCAGTTTAACTGAGCTTAACAACGCCCCGTAAACAAATTACAGATCTTCTGTGGAATTAGAAGGAAAGTTATAACCTACTTAAGACACTTGGTAGAGCGGAGCTTGAGAGGTTAATGTAAGAATAATGTAAATTAAAAGAAAGTAGGAGTTTTTTCTGCCAGTTTGGATTAAGGCAAGATTTATACGTTTCAAACTAAATATGAGATTCGTTGTTTTTTAAAGAAAAAATAATTGAAATATGTTTACTTTTTACGGCTTTGCAGAGGACGGTAGTAAAAGGAAGTTTACTCCTACTTCAAGCAAAACGATGATTCCTTTTTCAAACGTATAGCTCTAAACTCTACAAGTGCTAAACATTAATACTACATTTTGACATTAACACTGTATATTTGTCAAGGAATGTTGAACCTATATTTTTTAAACTTACCTAATTCATAAGACTTTTGTAAGACGGTCGTTGGCGTGGCGTGGGAAATTGTAGTTGGTGAGATTTGTCCAATTTCTGTAGTGAAACTCTTTGTAGAAAACGTGTGGTAGTGAGTTGTTGTAGACATGGAGGGAGAATTAATGGAGGCTGTGATTAGCGTAGTTGGAATGTCTTGTAACTCTGAGCTCGGTAATAAACTAGTGGTTAGGTGGTCCTGTGGTTCATGGGTTAGTAATGAAGTTGTGGTTGGAAGTTCTTGTGATTCATGAGTTGGTATTAAACTTGTGCGTGGTAGGTCTTGTGATTTATGGGTTGGTATTAAACTTGTGGGTGGTAGGTCTTGTGATTCATGGGTTGGTATTAAACTTGTGGCTGGAAGGTGTTGTGGTTCTGAGGTTGGTATTAAACTTGTGGGTGGTATGTCTTGTGATTCATGGGTTAGTAATGAAGTTGTGGTTGGAAGGTCTTGTGGTTGTTGTTCAGGGGTTGGTATTAAACTTGTGGTTGGTATGTCTTGTGATTCATGGGTTAGTAATGAAGTTGTGGTTGGAAGGTCTTGTGGTTGTTGTTCAGGGGTTGGTATTAAACTTGTGGGTGGTAGGTCTTGTGATTCATGGGTTGGTATTAAACTTGTGGGTGGTAGGTCTTGTGATTCATGGGTTGGTATTAAACTTGTGGGTGGTAGGTCTTGTGATTCATGGGTTAGTAATGAAGTTGTGGTTGGAAGGTCTTGTGGTTGTTGTTCAGGGGTTGGTATTAAACTTGTGGGTGGAAGGTCTTGTGATTCATGGGTTGGTATTAAACTTGTGGGTGGTAGGTCTTGTGATTCATGGGTTAGTAATGAAGTTGTGGTTGGAAGGTCTTGTGGTTGTTGTTCAGGGGTTGGTATTAAACTTGTGGGTGGTAGTTCTTGTGATTCATGGGTTGGTATTAAACTTGTGGTTGGAAGGTCTTGTGATTCATGGGATGGTATTAAACTTGTGGGTGGTAGGTCTTGTGATTCATGGGTTAGTAATGAAGTTGTGGTTGGAAGGTCTTGTGGTTGTTGTTCAGGGGTTGGTATTAAACTTGTGGTTGGAAGGTCTTGTGGTTCTGAGGTTGGTATTAAACTTGTGGGTGGTAGGTCTTGTGATTCATGGGTTGGTATTAAACTTGTGGGTGGTAGGTCTTGTGATTCATGGGTTAGTAATGAAGTTGTGGTTGGAAGGTCTTGTGGTTGTTGTTCAGGGGTTGGTATTAAACTTGTGGCTGGAAGGTGTTGTGGTTCTGGGGTAGGTATTAAACTTGTGGTTGGAATGTATTGAGTTATTGTTGTATGTCTAGTAGAGTTGATAGTTGTGCTCAATGATGGTGTGGTAATTGTTGTTAGAGTGTCGGTTTGTGATGTGGAGAGCGAATGTGTGTTAATGAGTGAGGTTGCTTGAGTTGGTGAGTCACTGTCCGTGTAGGTGGATGTGGATTTTGCCACGGCCCA